GAAGCGAATGAGATATGGCCATAGCAATTCCTACTTTTCAAACATTTTTAGCCGGTTGATGTTACATATTTCGTTGTATTTTCCACTGATTTTATGAATTTTATCCCGGGACTAAATTAATACTTTCACTTTCATTTTTGTTAATCTGTAATAAATGTATATTTTTGGTGAAATGTTTTTTTTATCGATAACTTTTTCGTTCCTTTTGTATTATATTCTTCAAAAAATTTTTAGAGTAATGGTCAGTTGCATTGTTAAGTGAGACAATGGCTAATGAAAGCATCGAAAGTGACCAATTTACGGCTACTCGAGTAAGTTACGCTATCGAGAGCGCCATCTATGCTCTTGCTATGCTATTAGGCCTTATTGTGTGCTGTTATACGTCACGCAGGTATATTCCGTTATGGATTACTGTACAGAAATACTACAACATTCATAATTAGCAGATGACATCTTAATCTGAATAATTTCTTAAGTAAATCAATGATAACAGGTAGCCGCAGTATCTTAGATTAACTTACGATTATCGCTCTGGCATGAAAATGCAAAAAAAATTTCAAGCCGTTCATATCTTTGGGTTGAGAAATCAGAATGAATGATTTCCGAATCAGTTATGAAAATTTCATTTTTTCAATTTGAAATGGAAAATGAGAGATGGTTAGTGGCCAGTGTCCTACATTTTTTGAATCTAATTTCAATCAAATAGCTGTCTGTCGCATTGCTTTCTAAGTATAACCGAAGTTTTTTGGGAATATTTTCTTTTACACAATTCAATCGCTTCTTTTGGCGCTTTGCTTATTTTAATTTAACATTAATTTAGCAAAAAGGGTTGAAAGAGAAATCAGTTATGAATTCATTTCTCTTTTCTAATGTTTTACATTCCTTTATTGTTTATTTTCACTGTTGACAGAAAGATGGGACTGCATTACCACTCAATTTTTTTGGAAAACAGAAATTGTATCTAATTAAATAATTATTAAAAACGGAAATAATTTTAAGTACAGCGGAAGTGATAAAGTCCTTGAAAATTTTGAAATTAAGAACTGATAATGCCAAGCTTTTTAATACATGATTTTTAATCTTCAGATAATGGCAATTTTAAGAAAGTGGGATTTTCAGGTTTAATTCCAACTACAGAAGACATATTGTTTTGGCAGCAAGATTGGTAAGATTTAAAATAAGCCTAACAGTAGCAGATCTCATTGTACTTTATGTCTACGCTCCAACACAAATCATTTGGATTATTACTTACAATGTAAGTTGCACTCCCTTTTTCCTTGTTCAAAACTACTAAAAACACAACTGACTAGGTCTAACGGAAAATGGTACAGTTTGAGGCACCATTAGCTTCGCTTTGGTACTTTTCAATATCAGGAAATGTTGCTCAAAGTTTTGGAAGGTAAGGAGCATCTTTTGGAATGCAATATTTGTCAAGTTAAGCAATGTTCTTTTACATTTCATTCAGCTTTCATTTACAATTTTACTTCGGAAAGCTCTCTCACATCTATTATAAATAGAAATTCAGAAGAAAAAGCAATGATAACGTTGGGAGAGAATTATGTGAAATTAAAAGTCTAAAGAAATTCACCCACTTTGAAATTGTCACATTTTTGACTTTTTTTTTAATAGCCTTAGTGAAACACTCATTCCTAAATGATTAATATTTTCAGTGGTATGGCGGTGATTTTTTATGTCGTATGACGAAATTCATTAATACATTTTCACTGCATCTAACAGCCAATATGCAAGTGCTTATTGCTGCTGATCGTTTATATATCACAACACATTTACGTCAAATTCATCAAGTCTAACTTTTTATGTCTTAGATAATATTTTTTATATTTGAACATCAATACTTTACGAAAGACCTCGTTACAAATTGTGTCTTACGCATGCCATTTTAGGTTGTCTATTTCAGCACTGCGAATAACTGAAATTACTTTCCTCATCATGACCATACCTTTTACTTACCATATATATTTTTTTTGCTGGAGATGCAAAATAATTGTGCTATTTCTATGATTCTGATGTTGTATATTGTGGTATTTATGGTATTTCCGTGATAAATAGGGTTTGATGAAAATATTTCCAGAAATCACATTTTGCAACAAATCAAATGATAGCGTTAGCATGGATACTTGCGATCACTTGCGCTCTACCTCAGCTCTTCGTTTTTCATGTATATATCTTACCGGATGGTAAACCACAGTGTGTCTCTGTTTGGTTTGTCTTATCTTTATTTTCTTCCTCTCAAATTGTTCTCTCAAAATCTTTCAGAACATTTCATTACAATACAAAAATTGCAACGGTACTGAATTAAATATATTTCGAGTATTTTTGAACATGATTAATTCATATTGCTTCAAGAAGTTTTCTTGCCAATTTTACATCAATTCAAGAATTCTTTCAGGACAGTGATGAGGTTTCGTGAATATGTTCAGCAAGAGGTGGCACAAGCGCATCATCTGAAATATACAGCAATGGGTTTGACCACTATCGGTGATGATAATATAACTTTGGCAGAAAATTTTGATGATATGATCAATCCATTAGTGGATAGTAGTATGCTGAAAGTTCTCGAACATGGTAAGTGCTGCAGAACTTTGTCTCTGCACATTGGACTATTCTGTTCATTTTATCTATTGACTAAGTTGTTGTTCCAGATAATCTCAGTTGTTCCAGGTGAACCCAGCTGACAAAAATGTAGTAGAGCCTCTGACTATTCTTGTTATGCTTCAACATTAACATTAACGAAAGCTTCCAAACTATTGCGTCCTAAGCGTGGAGTGTCAGCTATCAGATTTTGTTTCTTCCTGACTACATCCTATATGCTTCAAAATCAGTAGTGACATGAGGTGATGCCTAAATTAGGATCGAAAAGACTCGATTAGATTTCTTGGAAATTGGAGCTTATTATCGACGGTCCTGAAAGGATTATGAATTTTTTAAACAACAATGATTTCTAAGAAATGCTTTTGTGATGCTTAACACTTGTCTTACAGCCTACAACGCACTCCACTTGTTTTCCATTTATATATTACCGTATTCAGTCGAATTATTATGTTACGCTTTAATGTTAATTCTGATGAAGCAATTTCACAGAGATGATAACGATGCTAAAACCCGGCAAGAACGGTAATTGAGTAAGGTCTTTTCTCATAAACAATCTTTTCTTTTCCAAAATACTGTAAAACGAAGCAATTCAAGTTTGTTGCATAAGACATCCCAGAATATGCGGAATTGTTAAATAGCGATCAGTTGCACAAACTGTTCGTTGTTCATTCGATAAAAGGGAACAAAATTATTGGGTAATTAATACTCATAGCGTACAATTTATTCAGCACTGAATGACTGTAACAAATAGGAATCAGCAAAATGATGGAATAGAAGAAGTTGAATTTTTTTCAAGTTAAATAAGTAGAGCAAGATTAACAAAATATGCTTCTCTACAGATTCATATTAGGGATCTAGACTAAGGGAAATATTCCACCCTGGTGATTCCTCACATCAGATTTCTTGTAATGCCAATCTTAGTTAATGTGTTAAAAGATGCACATTTTCATGTCAAAGATTACTTAAAAGAATTAATTTTGTCCAATTTTCAGGCATTTTTGGTTTCAGCGAACAACAAATATGCCGAGGAACTCTATTTGTAAATTCTCCATTGATAATAACCCCAACACAAGAAGTAAGTTTGGAACTTTTGCAACACAAACTAAACAAAAAGTTAAGAGTTAATCGCATAATCTTTTTCCTACACTGCCTTTAACAATATCACTAAATATTATGGTTATGATGATAACAATAGTAACCATTACTATGATAAATTTACTTTTTTTGTCAACAGCTTAAATTTTAGATTTTTTGCCACATTGGGATACAAATGCTGAAACCACTGATTGTAATGCTATTAATATAAACGGTGAATCTAACAGGAAACGGATTTATCGGCTGTCTATGCCAACATTGAACCTTTTTAATCGACAGCGTAATGAGTCTCTAGCAATAGAAGAAACAAAACAGCGAAGATCTTCAGTTGCATGGAAAAATACGGTTGCATTGGCACGGAGGAAAACTAGACGAAAAGTTTGATTTCAAAGTCTATAATTTATTACTGAAAGTTGTGAGTCAGTACTTAAGTCTAGTTTTCTTGCAGATTATGGCCCTCTCATTCTCTCTCTCTCTCTCTCTCTCCCCCTCCCATCTAAAATAAACGAATTCTAATTTGGTCCGTAATTTCAACCTATTTCATAATTTTATAGGTTTCTAAAATCTTCACACTTCCTTTTATTCCTTACTTTTTTCGTTCGTTGAATTCTTAAGATTCAATTAAAGTATTCAAGAACTGTTATTGTTTCAGGCTTTCCTGATGCTCACATTAAATATGATATTTTGGACGCCGTATTGTGTTATGGGTATTTTAAGCACCATTATGGAATTCGACCATTCCGGCTACGATTTCTTGAATGCTCTTGTTGTCCTTAATGCCGTTTCTAACTTACTACTCTAGCTAATTCCTTTTATCACTGTACTACTTACTCGCTTGTAATCTACTTTATCCTTTACGCATCATTTCTAAAAATATTTTCACAATAGTATAAGTAAGATGGTTACTAGCAAAATGTTTGCTCGTGATGAATCTAAACTGATTAACTAATTTAGGCAATCCTTGAAATATATAGTAAGATATCGAATGTTTTATTAATTTTGCAATATGAAATTTATGTTAGAAAGAATTTGAGCTGTTGTGTAATAGTTATATGTGCTTTTATTAGAGGAAATTCAAAGCACGACAACATACAAAAGGAAAAACATATTGAAAATAGTCCAAAAACTTTTCCAATGAGATTTTTTCAATGAGAAAAACTTTCGAATGAATTTAAATCATTTTAATTATAATGCATAATACAAACAAAGAAATATTAGGAATCCATTCAGTTTTTTCAGACCCTAATTGCATAGTAAAATTTTCAAGATGTTTCAAATACTTATGAAATAGTTTATACAACATATGATCCATCCGCTTGTTTTTCAACATATTCATCATACATCTCTTCTTTTCGTTCCTCTTCTGGAAATGTGAATTTACGGCTAAATATATAGCAAATTACAACTGAAATGACAGCCAAAAACTGAAAGCCAGCACTCGTTAAATGGAAACTTTGTCGAAATGCTTTATTGTCATAGATGACACAGTTGCCATGATCATGGGGACATTTGCTATGCCACAGCAAACAATCTTCATCAATAATCCAGCCAAAGATTATTGGACCCGGAATAAATCCTGAAAAAAATCGTGTAAAAATTATTGTAGAATTCTAATGTCATTCATATTTTTCCATAATATTCGGATGTGCATTTAAACCATTTTTATAATATTCGAAATATTCGTGTTTGAACTTTAGATTCGAATTTTAAAGTAGATCAATTAAATCTATACAATAGTAATTACAAAAGGAAAGTTCGATGTATTCGTGATATGGCTGTGTCAAGAATGAGAAAATAATGCTCAAATTACCCATAATGTTTGTGGTGCAGGATGCAAAACTAAGTGCCAGAACTTTCTCGTCATCATACACAGATCTGCAAAAAGAAAATAATTTTATCAAGCAAATAATGGAATACAAATTTAAAAATTTTTTATAACAACAGACTTTGAAAGTGGGTCATTCATCCAATATATTGTCGGTCACTACAATGAGGAAAATTTTGCAATAAATTTTAAGTTCATTTTAAGCATGAAATTTTAAACTCATTTTTCGAGTACAGTTTGTGGATTATTCTCAATACTAAGTTCTTACTCTGAATACGAATAGTTCGCTGCACACTTGCAATATACCTGATAGCAAGTTGGAAGTGAAACAAAGTTCAATTTTGTGGATTTTTGTTATATGTTGGTAGATAACTATTATAAAGACAATATCAAAAATTTAGTTCCTTTTAAATAATAAATCAGAATGTATAAATTACTTATTGTTCAAATATTATTCAAATAAAATTTCACAACAAAGAAACCTTAATACAATCATCATTGTTGTCATAAAAAATAAATTGCCAAGAAATAAGCCCATAAACATGCTGGCAATATAAATGAATATTGCATTACATTCATCCGTGTATAAACCGGTTTCAACCGGACCATTATCAGCACATAAGCATAAGTCCCACTGAAATAGCTAATAATATAGCCAGAAATTCTGTAGCTTATATTAAGAATAAGATTTTTTTTTTGTTTGAGAATTTTTTTTTTAAAGAAATAATGCCGTTTTAGCATTGAAAGAAATAGTTGTGAAGAGGAATATTAGCGTATGAGTTAAAAACGAAAAATCTGCAGATTTCATCTGGTAGTTTTGATTTTTGCAAAGTTTTGACTTCTGAAGATCTTTTAAGTAGATAGAATCATCATTGGAATTTAAAATCCTAACCATTGCTATAAGTCTCCCTTCAATGAGTCAAATGTAACGAAATGACTAAGAATCTACTAGAAATTCTTAATAAGAAGACTTAAATATGATAATTAAACATCGTTCATTTAGCTACTAAAAGAAGTTGCTGATGGGAGTTGAGTAGTCAGTGACAGTTATAAATCTATAGCGGAGAAGAATATACAAATTGAATAAAAACAGAAATTGAAACATATCTTTTGCAAGTGAGAATTGTATTCGCGACAACCAGCATGACAAGGTGAGAAATAGTTCCTTGCGTGATGATTTACTGGATTAAAGAAATCAACTTGAGTACACTGACACTCAAAACTACATTCTAACTTATCGATGAATTTTTCTCTGAAAGCAATTTTAAAAGAATGCTCGAATAGTAATGAAATATTATGATACGTAAGAAAAAGTGGTCTAAACACCTCAACCTGAGATGAAATGAAACTGTTAGTGAAATATCACTAACTGATTAACAGCAGCAATAAGGAGTTGTTTCACTTGTGGCTCGTTGCAGCCAACTATAGCACCGACCAAATAAGTGATTACAATGATGAACCAAGTAGCAATCAAAAAAAGCAGCGCTTTTCGAGGTGATGGATTGAACTTCGTCAGCAAATAACCACCTAGTGCTGTGCTAACCGCTATACTGCCAATTGATACTATGCCTGCAAATGTTACTATTTTAAAATTGAACAAATATAAGTTTTACAACGGGTCATGTGAAATTGCTTGCGCTCAGGTTCCAGCCAGTCTCTTTTATCTTAGAGAGAAATATTTTGTACTAGCAATAATTTACCAGCATAAGTGTCGGCAACCGATGCACTATGACCGAATTGTGTTTCGATGTATTTCGGTAAATAAGTGCAATAACCACTAGTAAGGTATGAGCCAAACATCCATCCAATTATCATCGAGATGAATACTCGATTCTTTACCAGTCCCGGAAATTCTAGGAATATTTAACATTATCAAATAATTTTCAAATAGTCAAGACTTCAATACTGAGGTAATTGAGGGAAAAAATTATGAAAAATGAAGTTAATAATACCTATTACAGCCGCTTTAAGCTGCCCGCAGAATGTTTCTTTCAGTCGTTCGTCATATCCGAAAAGAGACAGCTGGTGGTCATCATGATCGTGTGAGCATTTATTTCTACAATCAAAATAAGAACAAAGGTAGGTAAATGAACCTATTTCAAATATAATAAATAGAACGATTTCTATCCTCTAGATTTTTGCGGATTTGATTATCACTTTCCTTAACTAATGATTACAGTAATCATCTTATAAACATGTTAAGCCATATCATGACTGAATAATCTCATCAACAAATTTGTTTGACGTAATATAGCAAAAATAAGTTAACCTCAGTTGCTGCATTTCGAACGAACTTGAATCGTGCTTTAACAGATTTTTTGGGAAGAAAAGTAGTGGAACAATAGCAGCTAAGTAAAATAAACCAAAGATGACGAAACCAAGCCACCAGGCTCCAATCCATTCATCGTTATTAACTGACACATTTGAAGGCACTGCAGTAAAAGTTCAAAAGTTTAAGCCAAGTATTTCAGCCAAATCACAAACTATCTCCAAAAAAGAACAATGTCCTTTTTAGCCCTTTGCAGTCCACTATTCAACGTTAATAAACAATCCATTTCTGGAATGCATAAATCTTCAGCTTTTAATAAGTAAAACATTCATTTTTGAATATCATTTAGAAGCATTACCGTCAAAAATAGTCGAATATAACCTTGTGATGACTGCACTTAATGCGAATCCAAAAGCTGGCGCAAATGCATACATGCTGGATAATAAGCCTGTAACAGCAATACAAGCGTGTTTAGCTCTTGTAAGGTAATCTTCCATTTTCAAAAAAAAAAAAAAAGAAATTAAGATTAAAGTTCCACTCAAAATTTTTTTGAATTCTTATGTTCAAAGAAGATTGTAAGCGTATTGAGATTTGAAATGTGATTCCAATTTTTACATCATATTATTCTCCGTGAAGAAACAATGAATAACATTGCTTCCAGCAAATAAAAAAAGATTGAAAAATACTCAAGTAAAACGGTGATTTTGTCTTATCTTCCAGATTATTGTCCACGTAAACATAAGCCACCGTATTGAAAGGTGCAGCAGCAATACCAGCTAGGATTTGGCCAATGATCAAGATACAAAAGGCCCAAAAATGCTCTTTCTCTTGAAGTTCGCAATTTTTCTCTGCGCTGTTAATAACTCGAGCTGGATCACAAATATTTCTGAGAATGTATTCGTGCTGTAAAACCAATGAAAATTCTTAACAAATAAGACGTAAGCATGTTTTGTTAGAAGAAGCCAAGGTTAATGCCAATATGACATAAGCCGTATATAGACTTCGCCGATTTCAGAGGATGATTGAATTGATTGAATTTTTAAAAAAAAAAAAAAAAAGTCAAATAAATAACCATTCCTACACCATGAAAATTTTCAAAATAAGAACATTAATGGAGACATAATATTGAAAGAACTAACTTCATGTGATAGCGATGCTTCATCGGATGATTCGGCTCCAAATAGTACCATCGGTAAGGCAAGTACAAACATTGATACAGCACTAAGTAATACTCCTGCAATTAAGCTAACAGCTATGCATTCAATCCATAAGGAAAAAGTGCAAGTCATAAGGAGATGTGATAATTGACACAGAATCAGAATTCTGAAATGCTACTACCTGTTGCCGTAATCCTGGGTAAATGCTTATCATTGGCCAGAAAGCCAATCAGTACCACAGAAACAGTATGGCCAATATCATAGAATGATAACAAGGAACCGGATTTCTTGCTCGATATACCAAATCGTCGTTCTAGGTTTGTTAATATGCCGACAACGTATGCAAGATAGGTACCCTATAAAACTTTTTTTCAAAACTTGGCTATAAATCATTAATGAGAATTTCTGTAGAAACACTGACAGTTCGGTCAGTGAGGATCATACAGCTATATATAAAATAGGCCCAAGAGATTGCGAAATACCTAAATCATAGGGTTACAATACTGATGAATGAGCGATATCAATAATCATTCCAGTTTTTCTAGATAAAAAGAGTTGTATACCTGAACAGCAATCACAAACAGCATTGTAACAAGGAAACATTCCACAGAGGGCGCAATTTTCTTTCGTGACAACTGTCTCTTTCGCGGTAATAATATCGGTGTTTCATACTGCATTGTTGAAAACCTTTTTGTAATGGATTGACAGTGACCGGCGGAAGGAATAACTTTACAAGTAGAAAAAAAGATAATGAAAAATAAGGTATTATGCTATGTCGTAAAGGAATGCCATAATTTCATTTTCTCAGCAATGCAAAAAAAGTAGAAGACTGAAAAAAAGCAAAAAGTAGAAAACTGAAAAAAGCAAATGTCCTAAATATGGAGAGACAAGTGGATGATTAGATAGATGATGGATGATTAATAGGTTTATTGATAAGACAAGATAGATTGGTTGACTAACTGATAAAAAATATGAAGAAGTGTAAAATAGTTGTAAACCTAGCAAATTTTACTGAGTAATGTGACTAATCGGTGGTCATTTCTACAAATAATCTTGCACTTCCTCGGATGTCGTTTGTTTTCCGTTTAACGCAGTTTTCAGGTGAGCAAACTTACAAATGCAACAAATGAATGCGAAGAATACGCGGAAAGACAACTGCTGATGAGTCATACCAGTCAGATTCAAATGGTGAAGAAAGGAATGAAATGGAAAGAGAGGTAAACTAGTTTCTACCGCACCTGTTGATGTCAGCCATGCACGATGATTGTCGTTCTAGCATGGACTGACAAGCATGTGCACAAGATGAGGCGCTGTAGTTTCAATAAAAGCGCTGAATGATAACAAAGAAAACCTATAAATGATAGTTAATGAAAAGTTTATTACTTACACAATATGAGATCATAACTGATTGAAAAATTATTTATTGTTAAGTTGAAGATACTTTTGAAGCAAAAATGAAGTAGAAAAAAACCTAATAATATGTAAATAATAGAGTTAGGAAATAGCTCAGTATTATTCATTAAAATTATTTAATCATTTTATATCTACTTTTATCCAAAAATGAATTTCATTTCATAATATATCAATTTAAAATTTAATGGATATCATCTTTTGATATGCGCAGCTATGGATTTTAAAAATAATAAATTGGAATGCTGATCAATTGATGAAATAGTGTCAGCAAGTCGTTGACATTATTTAATAATTTTCAATACTGTGTTACGGCAGTATAATTTTCCAAAATAACTTGAACATGACAATTAACATCACATGGTCAGATTGAATATCGAAGTATTTTCTAACTCTATTTATTGTTTAAAGCATCAAGATGATGCCAGTGGCTAAGTCATTTTGACGAATAAGATCAAACTTAAGAATAAAAATGAATTCAAAGTTATTAGATAATTTCAGTGAATTACACCGAATTATTTTGCAAGTCTGTTATCAATTCGATTTGTCATATTTTTTGATTTCATACCGTACAAGTGTTAACTGCTGGATTTAAAATTAACAAATTATCAAATGAAGTTTATTTTTGAAGTCGACTTGTGAATGTTGTATTGATTTTACATTTAAGTTATTTTTAAACGAAATGATGTCAATAAATTATCATTTTACCAAATAATTATCAATTATCACTTCGGTGTTAATATTTTTTGAATTCGTACTGCAAAAGTGTTAACTGCTAGATTTAAAATTAACACAAGTACAAAAATGAATTGAAATTAATAAAATCATTTGACTGAATTTTACTGAACTAGTTTGTAATTTTTGTTACCACTTCGATTTTTTTGAAGAATTTCACCAATGCCATATTAATTGGGACAATTAAAGTTTTTTAATTGATATAATGCCCAAACACCAAGTTGAAGATAATTAAATGATGTCAATGGATTATAATTTTATTAGTTGATTAGCATTCCACCGTTAATATTTTTTTAACCTATTGTCGCACTTATCAAAAAGATGCATCCGCAGGAATTAAGTCATTTCAAATTGATATATTATCGAACTCATTTCTGAAATGAAAATAAATTCAAAATGATTGAATATTTTTAATGGATCATATCAAACTATTTTGTAACTTATTATTACTTTAATTTTCACAAATTTCATTGTTTGAACCGCGGAGGTGGAGCCAGCCGCAACTATTGTTCAACTATATTGAAACTTATTATTTCGCTTTTTATGAAATTTGTAGTTTAAATAACCATTTTTTCTTATTGCTGGATTTTTTAAATTATTTTTGATTATACAAATGAAAGTATTACCAAAGAATTGGTTTACATACTTTTAAATAAATGTAATTTTTGAGTCAAAAATGGGTGCTTGCAGATCTGATTGATGAATAAACGTTTTATCATTTATTGAGTATTTACTCACTTAACAAAACAAAAATATAAGCATTTCAAGGTTTGCATTCCTTGCAAATTCCATTGCTTAAATCCTCAAAGAGATGCTACTTAAAAAGTCGATTAGTGTCATTGAGTCATCATTTTGTCATTTTATAAACATTTAAATGCTTGTATTATTTGCAAAATATATGCTTAAACGGCTAAAGATGATGCAACTTAAAAAATAATGCAGTAGCTGCAATGATTTTTAGTTTATAATTGACAAGCTTTTCAGTGTCAATATTTTCTGCAAAATCCATCGTTTAAAATTATCTAAAAAGATACCATTTTCACAATATAAAATCATGAGCAACTGAAATATTATTAAGCAAAATTATATACTAAATGAATTTAAAACAATGCTAATGAATTAAAAAAAATACAGTTTTACAATGTTAATGAATTATCACATAATAAATATTTCAAAGTTTGTATTTCTATAAAATCTGCTGTCATAATTAATAAAAAAGATGTTACTTGCACAATGTAAGCTCTAACTGGTGGATCTACTTTTAAAGAGAGATCACTTTCCGAAGTAAAAATTTTCTAATTCAAAAGAAGATTGAATTATTTATTTTACCTATTATCCTTTCGTGCTACATTATAAAGGGATATGAGTGTATACTTGTTATGGTCATTCAAATACCAATCGAAGTTTCATCCTTTTTTGCTTAAACACTACTCCTTACAGTTATTAAAAAAGCTTTTATGTGTATTGCTATTCAGTATAAATATATAATTAAATAAATGACTGAATTATAAAATATCTGGTTTTCATTTCAAAGATTAACTTTTTTTTTCAGATTTAGCACTCCGATAAGTTAAGTGGCAAATAGACGTTCATTTTAAATACAATGGAAGTCGTTTAGTTGTATAAGACTCTGCTTTTCTACGAAAAACTGCTAATTTCTACTAAATCTGAAGTGGCAGTTAAATCCTTACGTTGCAATGGATATGAGTCGTGCAATCTAAGAAAACATTTCTGCATTTATGCAAGCATTTATTGATCCTTCATGACGACAGAAGCATATGAGTAGGATTGCATGAATATTGGAGCTGGACAGGACTGAATGAAAAATCAAATCTGATATTTTTCCCGCAAAGATCACTGAGATATCTCAGTGGTTATGGCCATACCGGCTACTGCTGAATGTTTTAGCATAATTAGGGCTTATCGGCGATCACCTGCTCTCTCTCTCTCTCTCGTCACTTCCATGCATTAGCTAGGTCTTGTTTTGAAATGGCGCCAACATAAGTGTCGAACCTTATCTTTTAGCAGCTTCAAAACTCTCCGAGCATTCTTGTTGCTGAGGGAATGGTCAGTGCTCAGAAATGAAATGTAGTTGCTCTTGCGTTACTGATTGGGCGCAGTAGTCTGCCCACGCCTATTTAAGTGTTTACTAATTATCCTTCTGAATGTTGTGTTGGTACTAAGTCAAAGATCGCACAGTGTCATTCGTTCTATCATCGCTAAGCACAGTATTAATTAGCTGAATCACTTTCACTTGATTATTCATAAGTAAACTTTCGATCATATTTTTGCCTGGTCACTTTTGAATTTCATGCATATTTTATAAGCCGTTAATGATTTTGAGGAACGACGTTTTTTGATGAATAATCGATTCCTCGTAATTTCTTTCACGTTTATAATTAGATACACGGAAAGGATTATATAAATAAGCTGCGAAATTTTAAAATTTCCTTTAACGTTTATTCTTCTGCAGCTAATCACACATGAGTAATTAACACTTCATTTTCAGACTTTTCGATCACGTTGTATAGTTTACTTGTTAGTGGTGTGAACCTGTTGTATTTGACAACTTGTGGTTTTCTATTCTTATATAATATTAGACATTACAAAAAGAACTTTCATTTTAGGCTACAACAGCGGCTTGACAATCAATTTTTATAGAGTAGTTTTTGAATGTTAAAAAAACTTTGTTAAATTTGGTAAAAATTCGAGTTAGTCATATTGTTGTTTTTACTTGTTTATGTACAGGTTTTATTGCTGTTGAAATTTTGTAGGTATCATTATCTTCTTTGAATGTAGAATAAATTGTTAAAAGTATATTACTTTTACTGATAGATTCTTATTTTGTCACTAATATGTTGTTAATAAGTGGGTTGAAGGGGATGAAATGGAGAAGTTAATATGTGCTGTGCAGACGTATGATTGGGGACGTCGTGGAAGCCAAAGTGAAGTGGCGATTTTAATGCATGCCGCTGATAAACAGTTCGTTATTGAAGAAACAAAACCATATGCCGAGGTTTGTTTTAGTCTCACCTTCTGCTTAAGTGTTTGTTTAATCTAATCAATTAATTTGTCATAATTAAATTAGCGACAAGTAAATTTTGCTCCCATAATGTTTCTTCTACAAATATCGTAATTTTTTAAATTATTCTAAACCTATTCATGCTTTCCAAAGGGAGCATAACGTAGTAAATTTATCGAATTTAGGATTTTTAATTAACAAATTTCATGAACATTTTATATATAAACTCATTTTTCCGGTTACATTAGCACTTTCATTAAATTATTTTAGTTATGGATGGGTGTGCATCCGAATGGACCATCAAAGCTTATGTCAGACGGGAAACTTTTATCAGAAAAAATTGCGGAATCGAAAAATTTTTTAGGAGATCATGAAGGTGGATCACTGCAATTCTTGTTCAAAGTGCTTTCTGTGAATAAAGCACTATCAATACAGAGCCATCCTGACAAGGCTAGTTCATTTATTTCAATAGTTCCGAAAAATTGAATATTGGTAAATTAAAAATGTTCTCTTCCTTGTTTCAATATCAGCCAGTTTTTTATGAGTAATCTAATTTTTTGCATGTTATAATGCACGAGCTTGGAAACTTTTTCTCTTAACTTGAACAGATAGAATACAGAGTTAAGAAAGTGCAAATACATATAACTTGTAGTGGTCCTAGCAACAAATTTCGTTTTCCATTTGAGTCAAATTATTTATATTCATTTGTAGGAAAAAGCGAAAATATTGCACAGCAGTGATCCAGAACACTATCCTGATAGCAATCATAAACCGGAAATGGCGATCGCTTTATCTGATTTTCAACTTTTGAGCGGCTTTCGTCCCTCTTACGAAATCTGTGACAACATTAAAGGTTTGGAATTTGTACCTTGAAGTTTTCCACTTGTTGACGGAATATTTCTGATGCATAAGAATTGGCCAAGACCGTCCTTCTATTGTGATATTGTGATCCCGACAATATGTTATGGCATTGGTTTTTGTTATTTTGCAGTTCATTATCATTTGCTCATTGTATTTTGCAATGCTTTTTTTTTTTCTGTAACTGTATATAGTTCTTTCTAGCTTTCCCCGAACTGCGGAATTTAATAACTTCGAAGAATGATATTGAAAACTTGAAAACTGGAAATGATTTTGAAAAGCGCGAAACCTTGAAAAAGATATTTTCGGAATATATGCGTTCATCAAACGAAAATGTATATAAAGCAGTGCAGCAGTTGGCAATACGTCTAAGGAGCAGTAGGCTTTTGATCGCTACAAATAAATCTTTATTTTAAGTCAGCTCAAGCGGGAAGCATCAAACATGAGGAATCCGAATTCCGAAAATAATGATTTTCTTTTTTTCTAACGTCTCAAAACGACATTTCCTCGGTTAAAGAATTCGTTCAGTCCAAACATTAAAATGTGGATACACTATAAAGTTCTAACTTCACCTGTTTGACTTCTTTTTGTAGAGAATGATCGTTCTGATCTTGAAGAGTTACTTCTCCGGCTAAACAGTGAGTATCCTGGTGATGTAGGTGTATTCGCACCACTTCTGATGAATTATTTTACTCTAAAAAAAGGAGACGCTGTTTTTATGAAACCAAACTCTCTCCATGCATATCTTTTGGGAGGTGAGTGAGAAATTTATATATTGCATTTCAAAGCGAAGTCGGCAAAAAGCATTTTCTAATGATTCTGAAAAATTTTACAGATTGTGTGGAATGCATGGCTTGTTCCGATAATACCGTTCGTGCTGGATTAACACCAAAATTCAAGGATGTTGACACGCTTTGCTCGGATTTGACATTCGAAATGATTCAGCCATCGTGTTTCTCCCCAAAAATTATTGGTCCTGGAATAAGGGAGTATGCACCACCGGTCCAAGAATTTGCGGTACATGAATTGAGGGTCAGCTGCAGTAACTTTACTGTGGATCGAAATATTCCAAAATGCTTTCAGTATTCTGGTGACCAGTATTTTAGTTCGATGAGTTTGAGTAGTTTTATATCATTGGTCATCGCTCCGCAATCAAATGTCATATGTTCATGAATTAAGAATGCAGAGAGATGGAGTTGTTGTAATGCCTATCTATAGAAACAAGAAGTGGTAGAGGTGGAAATCCCACCTGTCGAACACGATTTGCATAAAATTCATCAGATTTTCGCAAATGCTTGATTGTTGCTAAACGTTTTCTTTTTCTTTTATTTCAGAATGGAGCCAACGAATTGCGAGATGTTAGTGCTGGCAGCATTATTATCGTAATAAAAGGCTCAACTGAAATATATAATGGCGCTGAAAAACTTAAGATGGGCCGTGGTGAAATATATTTTGTCCCGGCGAATATACGTCATGTGAGCATTAAACCCTCCGATGATTTTTTAGCGTATCGTGCTTTTACACCTAAAAGATAGAGACTTAACTCTCGTTCTTGGTGTAAGAGGAGCAATTTCGTGAACTTTGAGTGCTACAGATTTTTAAAACTGTAAGTTACCATGATGGTTTCTCTTTTCGAAAACTGCAAAAATCTATATAAATACGGGTACCACTTTTTTTTTGAAATTCATATTTATTATATCTAATGCGTTTAGCATTTAGTTTTGTATCGAACAAAACTGCAACTATCCGGTAACGTGAAATGATTAGGAAGTGTTGTGTTCGTCTCCTTCTTCCTTTCATCTAAGAATTTGCTCTTCTATATAAATTATAAAAGTAGTCTGCTACTCGCAATTGTCATAAGACACAGTATGCGATTTTAATGAGGGTAAAATTACAAAAAAAGATATGAAAATAAAAATACAAAGTATAAACAATCGAAAATTTATAAAATATTCTTGCGATACTGCGGGTTAGCAAAAGAAATTTTAGAACATTTGAAAACCGCTCCTGAGGAGAACCCAGCTTACCGTTACACTTCACTTTCTTTAACAGAATGAAGGAACGAAGTTCTAAAGATCGTCCAAGTACGGATGCACTGTACGGCCCAAATGTACAGTCGAGAAATCCATTTTGAATCTTCCCAGAAAGGAAAATTCCAAAAAAAAAAAAAGCCGATTGAACTGTGAAATGCTCTGTGGCTTGATTATAGTTCTTTTTTTATAATAACTTCGAGGAAAAATGTCATTCTGCCAACTCACGAACTATAATTTTGGAAAATGTATTTCTTGAAAATGATAAACTAAGCATAAATTAACGTTAGAACGCAGCAGAGATGAGAGGCAGTTGGGCAAGGCTTAAACGTACGGTATTGGGGTCTGAAGCTGGAGAGACCTTTCCTGAATGAGAGGAATAGAAGGCTGGAAATTAAAAGCAAAAGATAAGCGGAACAACAGAGAAAGATTTGAAAATTCACAATCCAAAAATAAAACATTACCTCAAAGCGTGCCATACAGTCAAAGTCGGAATAGAAAAAATGAAGCTCGAGTTTCAAACTTAAAGCATACGTACAAAAAAATCCAGTCGATTTGTAACGTGCTAACAGTCGAACATAGAATCTGAGCCACTATGAAAGCCTATTTTTCAAAATGTTTCTTCTGGAGAATCAGGAAAACGAGAGTCGCAGTTTGACGTGCAGGCCCACAAATTCCAAAATTAAACAGGAGGAAACTGAGCAGTACGACAAAAGACAATCAGTGAACTGAGGTCACTGTTGGCATTTGAAGTAATCATAGCAAAGTTGCGGAAAAGAGCTGTAAAACACCCTAAAAGAAAGGAAATAAGTCATTTCATTTCACACTAGTAAATGCTGGCTTCGATTGGATGAACAAGCCAAACAAAGTACCCGTTTAGATCAAAGATATATTTTAACTTCATCAAAACCTAAAAAACTTCCTTTTCTTCGGGCAAAGTCGACCAACCAAATAGAGAAGAACCCTTGTTACATCAGATAAACGTCTTCAACGTGAATGAAGAACGATGAACAAGATTTGAAAAAACTGACACCGCAAAGCTCAAAGAAAACGTGGAAAAAAAGTAGTGAGTCACTGGAAAAGCTCTTTACATACAGGAGAAAAAAGGTGAAGCAGGCAATCTTAGCAATCAGCAACTTGATTTGTTTGTGCATAAATCGAAACGACTGGCACGATGGACCTCTTCTGGAAGGTTAATGAACGTTCAAGTTTAATATGCATGTTGGCAACATACCTTGCACCAGGTGATGGGACAGCTTCAGGAAGACAACAATGACATTCATACACGAGTAAAATTTGTTACAATATTTTCTAGAAATCACCACTGCTACTTATAGATTAGTTTCGCTTTGCTACAAAGAACTGCGATAAGCGAGGGTGGTTGGGTATAGGATATTTCAAAAAATGACACAACTGCATGCAAAAACATACATACAAAAATCATTTGAAAAACAGACAGAAACGTACAAACCAACCAACAAAAAATATCTGTCTGAAATTAAAAGAAAATGTAACTCACGTAAGACAGAAACTATAGCTTCTCGGCTGACGTACAGAAAACACCTCAAACAGAGGTGTTCAAACAGAACAATCAGTCATCAAGCAATTACTTTTTAAGAAGAAATTAAGAAACTGAAAGGTGTATTTAGGAAACAAAAAATGTTCTGAAAGATACAACAAAGGTCTCTCCACTTATAGTCGAAATCGTATGAAGATAATTCAGTAAAAGGCAGAAGAATAAATTACACAGTTCATTATCTTGAAATTTTTGCATTAATTCTTCAGGACAAGCAAAATACCTGGTGGGAATGGGTAGACAGACAGGGATTAAGGATTAGTCAATGAAAAATTCTCAGATATCGACACTCTTATTACTGGAACGAGAATCCCTCCGACGGAACATTCTGCTGAGTTGATTCAAAGAAATGATCACCAGTCGCTATTCCATCATCGTCAGTTTCCGAAAAGTAATTGTCGATAATTTCATAAGCCAGTTTGTAGATTTCTTCACTTTCATGGTTTTGCAAGTGTTCGATTTTATCTAGACCTGAAACAGCACCCAAATTTCCAACTCTTCTTAGCCAACAATTACTTGGCTTTAAAATAGCCTTTCAACACTTCTCATAATTTAAACTTAAAACATGTCATTCCGATTTATGTAGAGTTGGGTTGTTTGTTCGAACAGAACATAAAACCATTGTAATTTACAGCTACAACATAAAGCAAGATGAAGCCGCTTATATCTTTCACTTATATCTATATTTGTTCAAACATCAGTATAATGATCTCGATGACTACGTCAACAACACCTGTTTTACAGTTGTTTGTTCCAGTATCATTCAACCAACAGACACATACAGCACCCTTCCTAGAGCTCTCTTAGACACAAAAAATCGAACATACAAAGATTATCAGGCTAATATCACTATCAAGCGAAAAGACATCCGCAAGAAAGAATTTAGATAATTTTACTCATGAATAAAAATTTCATTCACGATTATGAATCTGCTTTAAGTAATAACAAATAGTTTTACTTCCCCAAATAAGAAATAAAAAGTCACCTCCGCATTCTTCAATCATCGTACATATTGCTTCGGAGCGAGGTCCAGCCATCTTCAGAATATTGTTGAGGCCATCCAGGACAACCTGCACAATTTGTGAATCACGTATAGAAAGTAGGGCACAAAACGGTGGTATAACACCTTGTGAAACCATATATTCCACTTGTTCCGCACGTCCACTGATTGTTACATTTGAAACTGCCCAGGCTGCTTCCTAAATTATACATTAGCAGAAATTTGCGAATTGCACATATAACAATTAAAAAATTATTACAATTAGAAAAAAACCTTTTGTGTCTGAAAATCTCCCTTCTCCAGTAAATGAATAATCATTGGCATTAATCCAGCATCAATCACAGCCTGCACTTGAGCTTGGTTCCCAGCTGTTATATTGGACAGGAACCAAACAGCTTCCTAAAAGTTGACAAATTAAATTGAAAAAAGAACAAAAAACATTTATATGAGTCAAAGGAACAAAAATTTAAACAATTTTAATGGGACAAGCACAGACCTTGTTTATTTTCTCTTTCTGATGAGAAAGTAACGCAGGCATTTGCTGCAAAACGCCACAGTCCAAAACAAGTTGTGTCTGTTCATCCGTCCCAGTAACGATGTTTCCCACAGCACGAAGTGCTGCAGTTTGGACTTTAACTTCAGGATGTGAAAGAAGTGGAATTAAATTACCCACGACCTGAAATTCAGAACAATTTTTGATTATACAGCAAAATATACAATAAATCATTTTGGACAATAAAGAACATACACCACTGTTAATGACCATTTGGATTTGCTCATTTCCACCGTCTGTGAGATAAGACAACGCCCACACTGTATCCACCAAAATATTTTGATCCGTGTGACTAATCAGGGCAGCTAACGCAGGCAAAAGTGTTTGAACAATTTCTGGTGACGGTGGCGGATCCTGAAAAATCCGTCACTTCGTTAGCACAAATTAGCGATGATTAAAATAATAACACCACTAAAACATATGCTAATTTTTCAACGGGATTTTTTAAACTGAAAAAATCAAATAACTTGCCTTGGAACGACATAAATTGACAATAACCCAAGTAACATTACGAAGGAATCCAATTGGGATACCGGGTGTAATAAACTTCAGCAGTGGCTCAACAATTCCAAGCTGGATACAATAATCGCGAAAATGTGGCCCATCACCTGAAATTTCCACTTATTTCCTGCCCAGATAAACTATCACAAATAGTTTTATCACAAATAACGATTATTTGTGAAAGATAAAAGCAAAGAAAAACATAAGACAAAAGAAAATACTGGTAAAAAAGAAAAAATCAAGCAATTTCTGTTCGACCAGGTTTAACTTCTAGCCTGTTAGGCATATTGTAGTCTGTTGAAAAAAGAAAAAAGAAAAATGTACGCAGCATGGAAGGAATCATGTGAAAACCTGCGCTCATTTGTTTATGACAGAATGCATTAAAAACTAAGCAATCAAAGTAACTATGAGTTTGGTCATTTCTACATCCCCCTCTATCTGTTTAACTTTGAACGAACAGCTTGACAATAGTTCTAGAAGTTTGGTATTTAAAAACAGACCAATAATATTTCCAAGAGCCCAAACAGCTTGTTCACAGACGTTCATATTGCCCGAAGACAAAAGTTCCAAGAATAATGGCACAGCACCAGCTTGAACAACAGATTGCGTTTGCTGCGAAGTCCCAGATGCAATATTTGTTAGTGCCCATGCTGCTTCAAATTGCAGAGTTACGCTGCAAAATTATAACATATAAAATAGATTCATAGAAAATTCGATGTTTTACTAAATAATCTCTGACTCAAATCAAAAATAAATGGATGAATGACCGATCTGCGAAGAGTAGTTGTATCGAGAAAAATGAGATATAAGGAACAAATAAACTATTAAAAAATTTAGCAATTCCCCATCTCCAGATAAACGTCGCACCAGAGACAAGATGGCAAGTAATACAGTCAAGTCTGCAATCGGTTATAATCCAATGACCAAACGAAAATCTTGTGACTCTACTTCCACGTTGCTTGCATCTTTCCAAAACCCAACGTCTTTTGATAACAAGCTATTCTAAGTTTAACGTTAAAACCTACTTGTTGGAACTTAAACACTGCACTAATATCGGCAAAATACCGGATGCAATCAGATCATCAATTGGCGGATTACGGTCAGATGAGAGTAATTTTCGTGCCTGAAATACACTGGTCCCAATAGATAATAAGAATACTTGTTGGCCACAAAATTTGCAGTATACTGCATTCTTCATTGGTAATCTGATTCTCGATTTTCCATAATTTCATACCATGCATTTCCTCTCTTTGTTGGAATCGTTTCAATTTATAGTTTGACTTCAACTCTTCAAAAAGTAGTTGGCATAATTCAGCAGAATACATACGATAGACACAAATTTTTAAAATGACCTACTTGTTGCACAGCTGAAAGCTGCACCTCCTGATCTTGACTACTCGCTTTCTTGACAATATCTTCCAGAGTATTACGATTGTATGTTCCATTGATAACTACACCACCTGCACTCGTTGAAGCATCATCCGAATCTAGTGACCTATAAAACTTAGTCCCCGTAATTTTTTTCACGGATATAGATTATTCTTCGTTATCAACATTCTCCAGCGGTTGAAGAAAAAGAAAAAGAAGGATCTCTAGCGCTCCAGATCCTTTTACTTTATTACTCCTCAAAAAGTACTCGACATAATCCTGAAGACTACAGATGATTTGAAATTTAGCTTATTTTATTTTTGAACATAGTGACTTCACTTACTCAACAGGTATGTTGCGACGCTTCGACAACGTTTCTTCACGTTTATCTTTCCGAATAGAAATAATATTTTCCACACGACTCTTCCTCAGAGCTTCACTGTCTTTGCCCATGTTTTTGTATTGGGTTTGTCTTGACTCCGTCATATTTCCTTTTCTTATTTCAGATTGGTGTCAAAACCGAGAGGTCACTGATCTGAAATTGTAGAAATAAAAAATTCCTGACAATCGATGGCCTCCACACAATGTAAAAAATACGGCATTCCATTCATGAAATACAGTTAACTTTCCTATTGTAAATAACCTCAGTTGAGAAAACGCAGAATGCGAGAATACTACTCTGAATTCAATAAAACCACCCCTAAATTCACAGAGAGAACTGTATTCCATGCTCTAAAACTGTTTCCAAACATCAGTTTTTTCTCCAAATTTATCACGAAGTTTAATGGCATTTTACTTCTTCAGTCAATTCCCTTAAACATAGCTTGAATATATCTGTTGATAGTTGTGTCCTTCAACAAGAACACAGACTAACTCCCTGAAGTAAATCACTCGGATATTCACTTAGGTCCACATGTTTTGCATGAATTAATTCTAATTAGCGGTTATAGGCAACGGTCCACGTAAATGAAGGTGGTATATTAATTCTACGTGAAAACACTTTCATAAAAACAGCAATCCTGCCAGCAGTATCGACGGATCCCAACACCACTGCAAAACGGAGTAAACAATCAACTTCCCCTGACCTAGGATAACCATCACGGCCGTTTGCTGAAGTCACCAGATGGTCGCTATGAAATGCTTTTCGTCTCATGGCCAAGCTCTGAAATGTGGAATAAAGTGTATTGATTGGTTCTTATTGTTACTTTCATGCCAGCTCAAAGATGAAAAAGAGTTATTATTTGCATTGTAGGACTTTTTGCTACACATCACTACATTATCCATTCACAATTGTTGAGGTTTCTTTACTTACTACTGTCCAAGAATGACTCCTTTCAGCATAAATTTCCTTCATCAGCCTAATTACTAAATTGACTAATTACTAAATTCATTAAAGCTAAGTTTAATTTGCTATAACGACACGTAATTATTAATTTGAGTTTTTATAATTAAAAAGGATCATATTTTCCCATCATGTAGTGCCTATTTGCATATGGCAGTTATTATTATTAACGATGTGAGAAGATACTGAAAGGTTAGTAAGTGGCTTTATTGATATTCATTGCTTACATGATAAAGTTTATTTTATCCGGAATATTTTCCAGGATTACTGCACTTAGTTTATTCAACATTTGCTCAAGCGTTTCAGATGTCTGCACTTGTGGCAGAAGAACTCAAGGAGACTGGCAACTGTTTTTATCAACAGCATCGTTATGAAGACGCCATCTGTGCTTATAGTCGGTTGGTCCTTTTTTGTCTGAAACTTTTGTCTTTTAACTCTACGGGATCTATTATTAATCGTGGCTGCGAATTGTGCTTAGCATTCTTGAATATTAGTATTGGATATTCTGTATAGACATCCGCGCATTTATGAACTGTGTTAGTTTACTTAGCGAAACACTTACAGAAAAATGTTGATTAATTCTCTCTGCATCCTCTTTAATTTGCAGTAGGATAGCTATGTTTCATTATCCTTCCTTTGATTTTGATGACTTGTGTTTTAATTCTCAGTTCGTTATTATTTTTTGTGTAATTTTTTCGTGCAACAATTAAAGAGATCATGGATAAAATTCTGATAAGTGGGAAAGATTTCGTACGTCGTCCAGTCTTCAGTACTTTGCTGTCATGTCACATGCAAGCTCATTTGATCAAATACTGTTGATTTTAGGGCCATAATCAACAATCCAGTGATTCCAACTTATTTTACCAATCGAGCTTTATGTTACATGCAAACAATGCAGTGGGAAAAAGCTGAAGATGATTGCAAGAAAGCTTTAGATTTGGATCGCAAAAATGTTAAGGTAACTGTTTGCTATTTTTTCCATCCTTGTTTTAGGGTAAGAAAGTATTAGCCACTTAATCTTCCATGTCTGAGTTTTGGTGGTTATTAGCTGCATGAGTTAAATTATTTCTTTTTAGTCCCGAACGAATTTCAACAACGAAATTTTGATAAGGTCGATGAATCAGAGGCGGTAATAATGAAAACCATAAAAGCTATTACACAAGTAATTAGTGTGGCAATGTTGTAGTATATGTTTAAGAATAAAACTTCAAACATTATCCATTTTGGGGGACTCCATCATAAACTTTTAAATCTTTGTTATGCTCATAAATTCTTATTCTTCGATCCATTAAATTACACTGTTTTCATGGTTCCATGAACTGCAGGCAAATTTTTTGCTTGGTCGAACATGTGTACAGTTGGGACACTTTGATGAAGCTTTGAAAGTGCTTACACGTGCAAATGATTTGGCGCGTAGTCAAAAATTGAGTTTTGGTGATGAAATAACAGCACAAATTCGAATTGCGAAGAAAGAAATATTCAGGAGAGAGGAAGAGAAGCGGTTTGTCAACTTTGTCTTATCTTGGTCCCAAATTGCATCGTTGATTTTCAACTTGTCATTATTGACATTTTAGCTATTGCGCTGTAGAATTCTCATCTTAGCTAGGGACTTTCTAAGTCTCCAGAATCTCATATAAAAAATCTCTAGATTTCATAACTCTTTGCTTGAGTTTTGTATAAGTTTCAGAATAAAACAAGAAATTGAACTACAAGCTTATTTAAATGGTCTTATTGATAGTGATCTTGCAAGAAAATTGCGAGAATTGAAGGAAAAGAAAGAAACTAGCGAAAACAGTGAAGTTATAACTGAAGAGCTGGATTTGGAAAGTGAGGAGACGGCGTTAAAAATGGAGGCGCAATCGTTTAAGGATAAACTAAACAATTTGTTTGCACAAGTAATCGAAAATTTGACTGAACTATTATTAAGACTTATTTATACCTTATTTATAAATTGCTTTACATCGGAACAGCATTATAAGGGATTTGTTTGAGATACATATAAAGAAAAGGCTTTTTTCCATTTGGTGCTTTGTTTGATAAGCATTGGCCAAAGGGAGTTTAGAATTTTTTTGATTCAGGTAGATGAAAAAAGACGGAAAAGAGAGGTTCCTGATTATTTGTGTGGTAAAATTAGTTTCGAAATGTTACGCGATCCTGTGATAACTCCCAGCGGTATAACATATGATCGTGCAGACATTAAGGAACATTTACAACGAGTTGGTCATTTTGATCCTGTCACGCGAGCACCACTTACTGCTGACCAGCTTATACCTAATCTCGCCATGAAGGAGGTATACTTTGTTGAAAATTTTTTGTTTTTACAATTATTTAAATGTTTGTTGGAACAAGAGTAGATGATCAAGTTAATTAGATTGGTGCAAAAATAATTGCGCCGTCGTATCTCAAAATTAACTTTGTTAATAGACCCAAACGTATCTTTATTAATCAGTTCACGGTCACAGTGATACCATCTCTCGTTCGTTTGCTTGGTTGCATCGAATATAGAAGGCCATTTCAAAACGACAGTGTTTTTGATCATCGGTCAAAAGTTCATAAGATCAACTCATCGATTTTTTTCAGCCACTTCCTATGTAGTTATGAGATAATTAACTTGAGTAGTTGTCACTAGATGTTGTGAACTTCCGATGACCGAACACTACGCTTTTCATCTTCAGGATCTTCGTTTCCTTCAGTCGATTTCTTAAATTGCCACTACATTGTTTGCAAGTAATTCTTAGACCAATACATTGATGTTATCAGGTATTGCCCTTCGTTATGATCCATTTTGGATTCATAAGAAATCACTTATATTTGCTTTCTTTTTAACATTATTTTCTGAGATAAAATTAATGGAAGATAAGGAGCACGGCCATGACCATTAGAACGTCAAACAAGAAAGGAACATTGAAAAATTATATACAACGTTATTTAGAAAACATCCAGTATAAAGCAAATTTTAATATTGAGACACTCAGTTATTTTTATATAAACCTAATAAGGAGATGGTAGTAAAAAGGCATTTACTTTTATGCTTCCTATAGAGTAGTACTACCATCTTGTTACATCTGAACTAGCATTTTATTTCGATCAATCTTCGGATAACAGTTACAGCATATCGTTACGATTATTTTGTTGATTACTAGTATTAAATATAATTTTTCGATTTAGTTTTTACTATTCATCCAGAAGACTACAGCTTGCACTACGCAACTTTTTAATTTTGGTTACTGCCATATCGAGCAATAATTTTCGAAACATATATTAGTGATAACTTCTGCAATTATTTCATACACTCTATCGTTCTATTATCAAAATATATAATCTCAAAATATAATGCTTCTGACTTTCATTAGCCTGAATATTCTAGATTTAAACACAGAACTTCTCAACATTGCAGAACTCAGTGACTTTGATTCTTTGAATTTTGGTCACTAATTTCATTCAATTTAATTTTTTGTAAGCTTTGATGCATTTACGGATGGATTGCTTTAAATCGTTCCGGATGTACTTTTTTCTTATTTTATATATTAGCTTTATATGTACATATATTAAAAGTGCTTTTTCAGGTAGTAGATCATTTTCTAAATGAAAATCAGTGGGCTATCGATGCTTGATGTCAAAATGGGCAATTTTCTAAAACTTTTCGTGTTGACGGTGATCTCCACAATCGTCGTGGTATTCTAACACATGTCAGTGATGTTTACTGTCGTCAGCACGTGATTTTATGATTCACTTATAAGTTCCACCGGCCGGAATGTCTTTATTATTCTATCTTCAGGAGACTTTGTAGATAATTCCATAAGTTGTGAAAATTAGGTATGATTTCGGTAATGATCATTATTAGCGATAACTGCATTGATCAGTAACCTATTCAATATAGAAACTTAGTGGTGCCCGTGTTTCTAAAACAATTAGAAACATAGTATACACAACAGTCTATGTATTATTTATACATGTAAAAGGAACTGTCGTGCGAATATTACCGACCTGGTCCTGACAGGTATTTTTAGGACACCGCAATTTTTTAAAAACTTTCTAACTTATATTGACTAGACATATGTGTTGTTAGTTATGATTCTGTTAAACAGAGTTCTCATTTTTTTTTGCTAGGCCAGCTGGCAATTTTTCGAAAGACAATAAAGCAAATCAAGCCTTTTAGAAGTGACTGTGTGATTAAATGCTTTCAGAGAAACAACCAAATATTTAAAGTGGTTTCAGTGTAATGAAAGATGGTGGTTTCACACCTTCACATTCATTGAAACCCTCATTGGAAAGCGATTGTAGGTTTGTACTATAACTCCATAAATCCAAATAAGTTCAGTATTAGCAGGTTTCGATCTTGAAATCTTTTCATCTCATTTAATAAAATTACAAAAATAGATTGAAATAGCTGCTCCCTAAAGGCATAATTATACCATTTATACGACTAACGATTTTTTCCCGTCGTATTGGTCTATCCCAGTATTAACGAATAGATGTTCAGGCTGACAATATGTACATAATTTCCCATGTTTCGACCTATGTCGGGACTGTAAATTCATTTCAAGATATTTCAGAGATGTTTACTCACTTCTGCAAAACATATTCACTGTTGCTAGAAGGTAAGATATCTTCATGTTTTCCTGATGTGCGCGCGTTTTGCTTATCTTTATAAGCTTAAGTCCCGAAAATAAGCTACATTCTTAATGATGAGTTATCCAACAGAAATAATTGATTTTGGTTGAAGCTGGAACTTCCGCTTATCAAAACCCACGTGAACCCAAACCGAAGTGTACCAATCTCTATTGAACAAGAACTCGTACTGCAACATTTATAATTTACTAGGATGCAAAAGTGTTATGATAGAACAGCTCCACCCATTTCTATACCAAAAATAAAAATAACGCTACTTTAGCATTACCCATCGACCTTTGTCGAAATGTTGCTGCAAAATGTTTTGAATACATGCATTCCTAAATATGAAGATTTAGTAAAGTTCGGCAATCATGAACAATACATTAATTTATTACACGAGAAAGTGGTAACTGAAATTGTCATAAACCCTCTTTATTTGTTGAAAAACAAAATTCTATCACAAAATCAACAATAACGTAACAAGACATTTTAAGTTAATAAAACATTAAATTGCTCTAACAATAAATCACCCATCTGCATGGAGCGCAAAAATCCATTGCAAGAACTTCTATTTATGCCCTCGATTATCCAACGGTTTCACCTGCAAATCAATGTCAAGTTTCAGTCAATTTTGTCGAGTAGGTTATATTTGCTAGTTATACCAAATAAGCAGTAAACATAGGTCACGATGTTTATTTAAGCTAAAGAAATAGATTTGATATACGATATCAAAAACTTCAAAAAAGGAAGTGCATAAATCGGTCACACAATTGGATGTTAAGTGCCGTCTGGCTTGACATATAGTGTGAATTAATCCCGATAATTTTATTGAGAAACGTATCTTACTTTATAAATCCTTACGATCCAATGTTCTGTGGTATAAGCTTCTTCCAAGAAATCAAGTTCAAAATCCTTGTTACCGATCTCAGCATGTCTTACCCTATCAAAACCGGTGACTTGACCCTGAAAATATCTATTAAAGCGATTCAGTTTTTAAAATTTTCAAAGGAGCCATACGCTATTTCTTTAATCCAGTCCTAGTTTCATGTCCTAAACATAAATCTCGAGCTCAAAATCAGCAAAAAAAAAAAAAAAAAAAAAAAGAAAACAATACTTCCCAAGAAATAAGCTTACATGCTGCGTATAGAGTCCACCAAACCGATAATAGCACAGTTTATACATCAAACAATTAAGCATCGTCGGCGAGCCCTCGCGATCCACACGGAATTCACCCGATTTTGAAAAGTAATCCATCTCCTTGATGTGAGTACCTTCCGGTGTCGACCCACCAATCCTTACCATCCATAAAAATTTGTTAATATCTGGAAAGAAGAAATTGCTTACATAAAATCACATGAGTAAGTGGCTCATTCCAATTGTCAAGTTCTTCCTATGACTTATTAACTAACATGGAAGGTATTCAACTATTTTAACTGCAGATTCTGCAGATTTTTTTCTAACTCCAATTTAATCAGTAAGAAGTCCTACTAAATTCATTACCTTTTATGTTGCCGTAAAGCCTCTAAATTAAATATGGAAAGTTGAAGTAGTGGGTCTCATTGCAAGTATTCGGAAAAAATCACCGTCAGAAGAATATCCGATTACTCCACCAAAAATGACCAGAACATAATCAACGTCCAGTTCACGCATAATTTCATATGCATCTTCTTCTTTCGAAGACATAGCCTAAAAGACTTTTAAATGAAAGAAAAATTTGGAGGAGTTAAGGAATTTATCTGAATGTAGCAGACGATGATTGTAATTGCCAGCTACAGAAATGAATAGTGCCAATTATTGTGTATCCTTAGCAGAAACTCAAAGAAATCCGAAACACTTTTGTTTACAAAAAGGCACCTGCCCAACACGTGATATATGTGTATTATTCCAAGTATTGTTGTCAACGATAACTGTTCGATTTGCCATTGCTGTTATTTGATATCCATAATCCCACCAAGACATGATTTTTGCCTCCTGAAAATTTCGTGACTTCGAAAAGTTTTTAGTGAAAATTGTTGGCTTCGGTACTCAACTTTTGATTATATTTCCATAAAAATACTATCCACTGACCGTATGAGTATTCTTGCGTAGCCAGTAATAGGCCTCTCTGAAATCATCGAAAATAATTGTTGATCCATCACCACCATGTGCAGAAAGAACGATTGAAGGACTGCTATAAGCTTCAGATGTTGCCCAAGTGCAGTGATAAACATAGGAAAAGAAAAATACTGCCACAATTGCAATCACTGCTTGTGCAACCTTAAAGTTAAAAAAGCAACCTAGTTGCCAGAAAAAAAAAGAATGAAAAAGAATAGAGAAGGAATGAGATTGCATAAAGTAGTTTAAAACAAGCAATTCATCATCATGAAACGATAAATTTTAATCAGTAATGTACTTGACGCGTTCGCTTAATGACCTATAGCCTCGTAAAGTTTCATTCCAAATCACTATTTCCGACTGTTGAATCAATTCCACTGTGTGCGCCTCATTAGGTCACACCATGACTCAAAAGATAAATTACCTCATTTTTATATGGATAATTTCTCTCTTTTTCTTTTTTATCATGCCTGGCATGCGTAGATGTCGAATCCAGATTCTTCATAAACGTAATCAATATGGACGAGAGTGCAATACCACCTAATATGCACATTACTGGCGCCAATACTAACATCAAACGAACCATGACACCCTATGAAATATTATTTCTACTTGAAAGTAATTAATTATTTGGAATTCATTATTGATAATGCTCGTAAAAACAAGATCCTTCTAGTAGCAATGTCAAGATATGATCAATTCATTTCAATCTGACTGAATAAGTGAATTTAGAAAAATAACAATTATTAAAACTAAACAAGCATTGAAGGTTGAATTAACAACGCTAAATTTTCTTAAAATTATTAGGAAACAAAGACGTACCGCGAAATAAATGCTTGTAAGAGCATAAAGTATTATGAAAATGTTATGATCATTGAGCTCTTTGAAGCAGACATACAATCCAACTGAAAACGGAACTATTGGTAAAAAAGAATTGATATTGTTCAGTTCTAAAATTTTTTTAGATTTCGATCACTATCAACTATTTGGAAGAAATCGACGACAAAAAGCTGCTAACATACTAAATGAGGCATTGTAACAAAGAAATTAAGTACCTGGAAAAGTAAATACCAGTATTTGCAAGTCAAAATAGAAGGAGCTCCATGCCGTTGGCTGATGTTCAGATACAGATGCAATGATGGGAATATTGTTTTTAGCATATGATGGATCCAATAATGAATAAAATCGCCCAGTCCAAGGAGCGATTTCTAAAAAACGATTTTCACATTTCTTAAACACGAAAATATTAATTAAAAGATGGATGAAACTGCATGGGAAAATGTCAATTATTTTTTCCAGAGACTATACATTCCCTATTGTTAGGTCAGCAAAGTGATACAATATACGAATAATAGAGAGGAGGTAAAAAGTCAAAAAATCTCAAGGATATCAAATAAGTTGAGGGAAGCAAAAATCCTAAATAAGTTATGTTATTTGCGGAATAATATACATGAATTCATTTCTGATAATATAGAGACGTTCAAAGCGCAGACTACAAAAACATGAGTGTCACAAAGCTTACTTGCAATGAAATCAATGGATAGTGATCCAAATAACTATCATACAAAACTATCGTCTCAACAAAAATTTCTCTCTAAAAATTACTTCCTAAATAAGATGCGACGATGACACTCATCGCAACAGCACATGCGGCAAATAGAACAGTTGATCGAAAAAGGAACTGAAAATTCTCTTCCGACATTCGTATCCGCAGCCAGTTAGCAAAAGCAATAATCTGACATAATCCAAAAACGCCAAAAGCCTAGAAGCAAGTAAAAATCAAAAATTTAACAGAACTAAAAGTGCATACGAAGGACCAGTATGAAATAAATTAATGAAGTGCTAAAGACAAAAAATAAGCTTGGCATTAGTTATACAAATACTGCCTTATTAGTAGTTAGATACCACCAAATAATATCATGTAACAATTACATTCTTAGGTATTAGAAAATTCTTTTGTTGTCCAAAACGAAAAATAAAATATTCAAAAAGCAAAACTTAAAGAAGTACAAAGTTAAGGAAAAAGCAGATTAGGCTGGATTTTCTACAATGACAGTTCTGATAAATCAAAAAAATAATAAATACATAAACTTTGAAATTTTACTGCACATTCCAACATACCATCATATGCTCTGAAGTTTGCACAGGTTGAAATCCGACAAAGGGAATTTGCATTGAAAGTATAGTTCCAATAACATAGAACTAAAATTTTTATTCTCTTAAATAATGAACATATTCAAACAGTTATATAAACACCCAATCTAGAAAGTATCATTTAGAGAACAAAAACTTTCAAATGTCACTGGTAATTAAGCGGGACATCAACCAAAGTTGATACAAACAATAAAACAATTCATCAGTAGAAACACTTAAATGCCTTTCATGTCTTTGTCTCTGTTTATTCTGTTCTATTACGCGAAACCGCAAAAAAACTAACAGTCGAATATGCGATATATATTTTGTTGGAGAATCGGCCAGTGCAAATAAGTATCAAAACATGCAATGGAATGAGATTGATCAAGAACACGTAACCACCCCATGAAGAAACCATGTAGAAATAACCAAGTGAACATAAAACTGACCAACACACATTACCACTTTTTACTGCCTGAATACTTTAGACTGTATACCAGAAATTCCGTAAAATTCACTGATGCTATCTCCTGATACTTCTGTGAAAGTAAGGGAAGAGAGCTTAAAAATAACAGAGGTATCCAACTGTGTTTAACAAACAGGAATACCACTAATAAATATATCTAACACAAGCAAATTCCATCATTAATGAGTATGAAAACAAACCTTGATCCACAAGTAATACGTGAACAACATACAAAATATAGCGATCCCTTCGTTATCATATGAACCAGCAACAGAACGTGATATGTAGCCTGGCACAATAGCAATCATGGAAGCAGCTACAAGTCCAGCCGCGTCATCCTATAACAGAACCCCTCTAATAATAACTCAAGCTAAATTAAAACTGCATCAAAATTGCATTACTCAGTTTAAATATGATTATCCATGGTCCGATTCAAATCCATGATAAAAGAAAAACAGTAACAGAGAAAGTTGACTGAATCATAAAAGTCATTAAAATCATATTACTGCACTAAACAACATAACATTATATGAATTCATGGAAGCTCACACTCATTTGCCACTGTTCTTTTTGAATCCCATAATAATATCACTTTCTTTCATCTAATTATAAATATAATATATTTAAACCCAAAAGCCTTAGAGGTTTCATTAATATCAATAATCCTCAAGCTCATGGGCAGTCGACGATCAGAAGTTAATGTATCAAATGTTGAAACACTTTGAATGTAAAAAAAATGTGCTGTAATATGGTTGTCTTCACACATAACGTAAGAAACTACCGACCACGCCAACAGACCTATCAAGATTTAGTGTAACAAAACGTTCTTTTGATCATCTTACAGATATCAAGTTCAGTTATATACTATTTCACACAACAAAATCTGACATCGAAAAGAAACAGAAATAAAAACCTTCATTGCATACTAATTCGTTATGCAAACTAAAACTAATTTTTGCATTCACATATGAGACAAATCAAAATCGTTACTATGATAAAAATCTTTTGCCATACATTGCAAAAAATAATTTCCGAAATACAAACGTAAACAAACCTTTAATTCTTTCGTTAACGCATATGTTATTAAAACTGTGAATGAACTAAAAAGTGGAGCAAGAAATACACAAATTTCTCGCACATGTAATGTGAAGTGAACGAAGTGAAGTATGCGATGAATTAAAGCACTTGTTAACATTAAACCTAAATAAATGTTTTGTTAGAAAAATTTTACAAAATCACTGAAAACTCTTATTTTCAATTTCCCGAATAAACTAAATTTTCCAGGACCTAAAAATCAAACAACGTTCTAAAATCATATTTTTCGAGACCCGGAAGAATATAATAGAGTAGAAAATGCAGTTAGAGAAATAAAGACGAACCAGGATATATTGTACCACCAATGATCCTCCCCAACGGATACCATGCTCGATCGTCAAACCAGTTATGGAAATTATAGTATCCTTCATCAGTAAGATATCGAGTAGTTCGATAATTGAAATAAGGGTCAAACTGTAATATCGAACACTTGATATTATTATAAATTTAAGAAACTAGGTATACCGGTATACATTTTCTCTTGCAAGTCTCCCTGCATGCAAAGTTTGAAATACTTTTAAGGTAAAATGATGAGACGGACAACTTACTTCATGAATGACCGATTCGAATCTGATCACAGCAAAAAGTCGGCTGGAAAAAACGGAAAAAAATTTAAGTGTAAAACACGAATATTCAAATATTGAAGTTCATGAAATGACAACAAGTAAGGTGATATAAATTTAATGTGTAAAATGGAATGCCCTCGACTAAACTGCAGCAGATAATACTTCTCACAGCTATTATGTAGAAAAAATTCTTTCAACCTTGAAAACCAACCTTGAAAAGGCGACCACAGCTGCCAATGCTAGAATCAAAATCTTAAGAAAAGTTTCCTGTTTGTCGTGTGTCAACCTCAGCAGCCTGGCAACGTTCACCGACATATCTGTAATTTTGCCATGCCCAAATATTGCCAAACATAGAAATAACATGAGAAAATTAAATACTTAATATGCATAGTATTAACAAATATTAATATTACAACACATTTAAGAGATAATTGAAGGATGAAATGTAGTAATCAAATAAACGGCCTTAAATTTAATTCACTTTTCATTTCAGAATTTACTTATCAACTATAGACAGTTTCATTTTCCGTAACCTGGAACATATAATAGCAAATGTTTCTAACTGCACATGTTTGATGCTGACAGATAACTTATTTCACCGGAAGGATGGAACTTAAGTTAAACAAGGCAAACAAAGCACACATAACCCATCACTTAAAGCAGCACTCCCCTCCCCCACCACTGCCCAGCCTCGAAGCCACGTGTAAATCTCCGCACCACACTCTACGCCCAACTACGTCACAAACGTCGATTTCGCAACACACAGCATATCTGTGTTCTCCACGATGGATACACACTCTTCTCACCACTTTATTAAGCCATTCACGTTGAGTGCAGGTAGTCGTGTAAGTATAGATGTGATGCTAATTTCAGGTGAACTGTAAGGTGGGGATGTACAGTGCTACACTGAAGTACCATCAGAGAAAAAACTGTTTTGGATATATTCAACTGCAGTACAGTGACGTAGCACTAACGAATAGCATACAGGTAACTGATTACTGAGAAAGATCACTGACAAATTACTAATCACAAATTTTTGTAATTTAGTCCTAAGAATTTTAAATAATAATTTGGTGAATAAATCAAGAGATTTCCCATTATTTTTGATTTTTCATATTTTCTGTATCTTTCGGAAATGTGAAAGCAGTCCATAAAATCTAAGAGACAATTTATTATTTGGTTAGCTCATTTTGAACGCTTGGAATAATCAGTGGAGATAATAAGTCCGTTGTATGTTTTCTGTGACTGGCCTGGAAGATATTTTGTCTATATTAATTGCAGTTCAGGCTAATGCGGTAACGCCTGGTGCATACACCATTATTAGATGTGAAAATTCAACAGATTGTGGTATAATTCAAGTTTTTGCTCCAAATGACCACTGTTGTTATACACCGAAAATATTATTTATTAACAAAATATTCGCAGATTTGTTTGGCCTTCATGAAAATGAAAAGGTAACGCTGATTCCTTGCACTTAATTTCAAATAATATTTACGAAACACTTAGGTGAACCGAGGTTATTTTTTGGTGGCGAACTTGATTTATGTATCAAATTCATTTTTAGGTAATTGTTCAGAAGGTGGAAACAGCACCTATATGCAGTTCGTTTGAGGTAGAGCTGACTTCCGAGGAAGACTGGAATATTGTCGTATGTTTTATCCTAATAAAATTAAGCGATACAAGGAATGTTTTTACATATTTAGGAAATATGAAAAAAAAAATCATTAAAATAATTCTTTTAACTATGACCACTATCTTTGCTCAACTTCTCCATATTTTAGTACTTTTAAAATTTGATTCGTAGCACACTGGTGTAGTACATTTCTTACTGTTCCAGAGAAACCCATTTCACATGAATTTAATGCGCATATCATGATATTTAGAAATTGCAAAAGTAGCAGGAATGAAAAGTTAAGGAGGTTTTTAGGAGGCAAATGCTAGCTCCGCACCTCAAGTGCTGAAACTTTGTAGATAGAGGCATAATTTTGCTGATTATTTTAGATAACTAAACATTGTGATTCCAACTATTTCTGCAAGAAATAAAGTACATCAGAATTTTTTATAATTAGATGAAGCGATTTTTTAGCAAAATTCATCGCAACGAATTGAAGAATTGCTTCTGGAACAAATTCAATTAATTACTGTTGGCCAAACATATCCAGTTTGGATTACTCAAAATCTTTACATTTATTTCACTGTTGGTAAGCTAAAAGCTTTTTTTTTTTTTTTCATTCTCTTTTGCTTTTTGAATTGATTTCATTACGTATTTCATTTTGTTTTTTTGTTTTTTTCTTTTTTTTTTTTTTTTTATCTGACAACACTAGCAAACTTCGGATACTTCTTTTCCGTTATTTAATGAATCCTTTAATCTGTATAACTTTTCACTTATTTCCCGATTGCTGTCTCGTTTACAATTCACTAGTAGTCATTTTTAACATACAATTATTAACTGTTTTAATTTGCGGCACCGGTTTGCTACTCAGTCCAGTTTTATATTTTTTAATAATCTTATTTTAAAAGATGATAATGTGATTGCAGACATTCAGCTTTTTAATCAATAAATTTGCTGAAGCAGAGTATAAATATGGAGGTCAAAAGCACATTGCTTGCTGTAACATGATTAAGTCACGATTTGTTCGCTAACTGATAAAATTTTAATTTTGTGCTAAAAACATTTGCCTGGATTTTTGATGATAACAGGCTTAAAAGTGTTTAGAGAATTATTTATTTCTAACTTCTTGCTAAATTGCTGCATATTTGCTTTATGTTGACTTCCACTTCTCTCGTTTTCAGTTTATAAATAGCAGCTCTTTTGAACACTGGAAAACTCATCTACCTCTCATTTCATTAACGCTCTATCGTTTATTTATGATTTAACAAGCAAATGAATGAAAGTAAATAAACTGGAACAGATTTCAGCTCGAATCAAAACATTTTCATCCATGGTGCAGAATGCTTGTCTATGTGAATTTACGGAGGTCCATGTGAAGCCCTTCTACTCAAATCGTAGTAGTCTCAAGGACAGTTCAAGAGACATTTTGAGAGTACCTCCATTATCATTCGCATGTAAAATAAAGGATCTATTCTCAAATTTCTCGCCGGAGCCATTTATGCTGAAGATTCAAGATTACTGTGGTAATGTTCTTGACAGAACTGCAGTTCGGGTACTGCCTAAAATACTGATTAATGATGTTACCTTGAAAGATCTGGACATACTTGCCGTTTTTAAACTCAATTTCAGTATGTTTCTTTGTATTTTTTAACAATTTCATATATTATTTATGGAAATCATAATATACGTTACAAGAAATGTGGTGGAATGGGAAAGTTTTGCTTCTTGAAAATAGTAAAAAAACTGGTAACAGATTGATTTTTCTATCTGCTGGGAAGTTTTTTGTCAATTTTAGATCAGAGTAACTCAGAAAACGTCACATTATCAACTGTTCATAATGATGAAACCGGTCGAACCGCGCATGCTTTACTTATTGAACTACCGATATCATGTTCCCGTTTTGCTACATTAAGAGATTGTTTGAAGGTACTTTGAGGATGTGCCTTTCTAGTGCCTTGTAGTGCTTTTCATTAGTTCTATCTCGGTGTAAATAAATCTGAATAATCTTAGAAGTAGCGTTACAACTTTGTACCTTGTAAATAAGGCACTTTAATTGTTTGCTTTTGCTTTAAAAGTTTAACTAACTGTTCATTTTCTGTATAAAATTCAGTTAGAGAATTAATTAGATGATTTCGTAGTTAGAATTTTGTATTAATTAATAATGAACAATTTCTTTATGAAGCAGCTTTATTACATATTCATTTCTTATAAATTTTCTTTTTTCAGCGATATGATGCTTATCACTGCGCTTTTTCACCCAAACTACATCAAGTTATGAATGGTGAATATGAATGGATTAAAGTATCTCCTTTACCCAGAAATAACATTTATCAGCTTGAAATCCTCGAAGTACTTTCAGAAGTTGGTACAATTCATTATTACATATTCGCGTCTATTAATTTGAATTGAACTGTAAATTCTGTTGTACGATTTAGGACAAGTTATCTGAGAATTTCAATGAGTGTTTACGAAATCATTTGTGGAAGACTTGTCGACATTATCCAATCATTGTTCCAGATGACGGACTCATAGTGGAAGTAAATTTAACTCGTAAGTTTGGACCAAATCATGAGATATGTCTCTATATGTTTAGTGCTCTTGATTTTATTGAAGTGCATTGTGTTTCACACATTATAAAAATTTTCTTGTCTTTTTTGGGCTGCTTTAATAATTTAAATGAAGGGTTTATGTTAGCATTTGCGGAAGACTTGTTTGTCTTTCTATATGTCGTCTTTTCCCCGTAATAATTGAAATGCCACGAAATAAAGCTGAAATGTTTTCCAGGTAAAGTTCGTATTCAGTGTCGAATTAAACCTCATTTTGATGACAAAAATGACGATGGGTCTCAGAAATGTTTTGTCTTTACTAACGACATGTTTCCTCCGCTTGAATATCCGGTAAATGACGTATTTAATAATATATGTGGAAATTTTCGAGAAATATGTTTTGAAAATAGCTAACGGTAATTTAATTAGAAATTTTAATATAAGATTTATATCTTCACGTGAGACATAGAGTTTTGAAAGAGTTACAGGGGCTAACAGTGCTTGCCGGAAATTTTTGTTGAGCAGCTTGATCTGGCAATAGAAACCTCTTTATTCTTTCAGAATACTGATTCGGTGAAAGCTAGTTTCGTGCAGATGCTGAGAAGAAATGGGAATGAGGATATTCATCAGGCAACTGTAAACTTTGGAGAATGTGGGAATGAAGCAGTTGAATTTTCGTATGTTTTATTCGTGAAGAAGATATTCTGAATGTGCAAGAGGGGTAAAAGAGAGTAACCATTATATGTGGAGAGGCTGTAAAATAGGTAGAGTAGTCGAGTGTGACCTGAACATTTTAAAATATTGAAATATAAATTTGATTGTAAAGGCTACTGCTCAACTCAGTTGGTATTAATATTAAAATTTTTCAGGTTCCAAATTGCATTTATTGAGAAATGTTGCTCATATATTACTTATCATTTGGAGAAGCCTACTTTTTTTTCATCAGAAAATATTCTTATAGTGGGTAACAAATCAGCAGGTAAAACAACGATTCTACATTTCCTTGCAGGAAAATTACTCCAGTCTCACTTGGCTGTTTACAGTGAATGTTTATATTGCTCTGAGTGGAATGGTGAGTTTGTATCAGAAATCTTCCTAAAATTTGGAAGTGGTATTTTTTTAAATAATATCCTAATGGTATGATGCGGTATTGTTGTTGTCCGTTTTGTGGTCGTTAGATTTCCGTCTGATGTTGTGAAGGTTCATGGGATTAGTGTAAGAAATTTAGAATAATTATTGTTTTGAGTACTATAATACTGAAGGATAGATTTCTTGTACTTATATTTTTTATCTTCATAAACGGGTTTTACCTAACAGAGTATTTTGGAAGTATTTCACTGATTCTAAGACTTCTGTTTGCAGGAAAATCAATTGAGAAATTTCAAGATGTGTTGAAAAGTACGATAACGCGTTTAAGGCGACGTTATCCTTCAGTCCTTTTCTTAGATGACTTGGATATTTTATTGCGTGGTCAAGATGAGGAAGTGAGAAATGTTCGCTTGGAAAAATGTGCCGAATGTAAGTTCGTGAATTCCATTTTGCACAATTAATGTCAGTCAATTTATTCTCCTTAATTTGGTTGGTGATTAATATAAACTTAATTTGTGTTATTTTTTTTATGTCTTATTTCATAAAAACTTCTGTGTTTCTTGAAGTAGTCCGAAATTTGGCCACTAAAAATGATTTGTTGGTTGTTGCAACGGCGTGCACCAAATATGAAGTTGTCGAACTGTTTTCGTTGAATGCTGGTGGGCGATTTTTTGGTCACGTGGAAGACATCAAAGAACTTAACCCGGCAAGTTATTAAATTATACGTGCAACTTAAGTTGTATGCATCATGATAGCATCTGTTATTAGTGAAAACTTCTATAACGATACTTGCACTGCTGCATTTCTCTTTGGTAGGAATAGTTTTTATTCATTTTAGTGTTGTGATTTTAAAAATATATTATATTAACTGAGGATAAAAAATATTAAGAACTGAGAAATATTTTGCTCATCTAGGTTAGAAAATCTCCATTGTTAATCTTTGCTTTGGTTGGATCAAGATAACTATTAGAAAACTTTGCTACGACTAATTTTTGTTTTTGTCTCATAACTCACTTCATTGAATTTCATGCAAAAGTTGTTACTAGGATTTAAGGAGTTCCTCGAATCTGAGATCACTTAACTCTAATATCGATATTTCGAAATAGTCTTTACTGTTTATGTCGGTTCACAAGATTGATATTTGCTTCTTATCAAAAAAATAAAATAGAACTTTAAGATGCAGCTGTCCTTTTCCTTTCTGTTCTTTCTTTTTTTTTTTTTTTCATGCCATTCTTTCTCCTTTTCGAGATCTGATCTCTCCATCCTCCTAACTAGTTTTCCAGAAGAAAGGAAATGGATACCAAAACAAGCAACTAATTTATATTTTTGCAAACTTTATAGAACTTTTTTAGAAAATTTTTGTAAAAGGAAAAAGTTTATAGCAAATAATCAGCAACGAACGGTTTTGAGCAACTGCCAAATGTTCCATCGCTGTGACACTGTTTGGCATAGCCACTATCTTTGTATACTAGCTGAATGACTAAGTTCACTGTTTTCCGACGCATCCAAGATGATTTGTTACAAATAATTATCCAATAACGACCCGGTGTTGTGCATTCTATTGAATCCACTTCAGGAACTAACTTCGCACTCAATTTAAGCCATGGATAAACCATTTCAAGTTCATCAGTGTTAATCTCTTGTCCTTGTCGCATGCCAGTTATTGCTTTGTTTGATGATAGGATTTGATGTGGAGGCTGAAACTTAAATCTTCTAAACATTTATTAGAGATCATTTACTTTAGTAAACTAAATAAACCATTCTTTCAAGTAATATCAGATTTAATGCTTGTTGTAATTTTCTCGGAAGTTTATATTAAATTTATAATTCAATTGTGATGTTAAATAATATTCTTTTAAATTTTAGATTTAGGATGTTGATTGTTTTTGTCTTGATAATTCTATTAATACGGTGATGATATGACTTAAACCATGCCCTAATTTTTTATCACCTCGTAAAAAACGCCGAAACTGATATCGCTATCCGTAGTAAAATACCACTGTAGTTTGTTTCCTTTCTCCTTTATGTCTACATAAATTTGACGTCGTTTTCCTGGTAAAATTGTAATCGTTTCCAAATTGCTTGGTGATTCAAGGCTTTTCGGTTTGACACGTTGTTCTTGTTCTGCTGGCTGACATTGAATTTCCTGTATAAGTTTTATTCTGGGTTTCATTTACTGCAGAGGTTTTATTAATTCTAGGCTGAATAATTATCGTCATTATAAACGTGTATAACTTATTTGGAGCTAGTTTATTTTATTTGAAACAAAAAATTGTGCGTCAAATCCCAAAAAAAGAGGAACAAAAAAATAAATAAATAATTCATCCTGAGAACGTGTGTTTCATTATGATATGAGAGTGCTAGGAAACTACCTTGATGTGGCTAAATTCTAAATTATATGTATTGATCAGTATTGATGGTCTTAATTTTTTCCTTAATCTGGAAACTTGAAAATTTTCCTTTTTAATGAGCTACCTCATTTTTGCCTCCCAAAGTAGCGGGGATATCTTCAATTTTAATCTCTTTCAATAAATTAGGCAGGAAGTTTTCATTGTGCAGTCGGAAACGTTCTATGAAGCTGTCAGGCATCATTGTTCGTGCTATTTTATAAGGTAAATGAATCCATTTCGAAGTATTTACCATCTCCACCGGGCTTACCTGGAATAATTGGTTTTATTAAGTTTATAATAAACTATACTTGCTTGTCAGTTAATTAAATGTAACAGTTGCGATGCTACTAGAATCTACCGGAGAAAGTTCCCACTGACTTTTCGAGTACAAATGTGCTAACTAATGGATTCTCCAAAAAATCCATGGGGAAAACTTTTAAACTAACTAGCTCAGGATAATTATCGAAATGAAGAAGCTGAGAGAAATAGGCTAAATTGCCATTCGTAGCGAAGATCATAGTGAACGGATTAATTTCATAGCCATTTAGATCAATAATATGTCTTAAACCACTTAGTCGACCAGTTTTCTGTTCCTGAAATCTCGAAAAATTCCATGATGGTGGAGCGCGATTTTTTAAAAAAGTCGGTTTCTGGATTATTGTTTTTTTTTTTTTTATATAACAGGAAGCTAATAACTATTTTTGCGAATTACTGCATTTAAATTTTGGTAACACATATATATATATATATATACAAATTGAGACTATATGTATATATAGTCTCAATTTGATTATCAGTACGCTATGTTAGAAACTATTTCATAAAAGCTAAAGCTTCAATTTACAAGCAAAATATTCAGTCAGAATGTTTGCCAGAAATTCTTTAAAATGTTGTGAATGAGTTTTTTGTGTACTTGCTGATTGACTCTTTTGAGCATATGTTCGAATTGACGAAATTGTAAGCGTATAGATTCTGAACTGCGCACTGTATGAGCTATGGCCTGCAATCGATTCTTTTAACTTTTTATATTATTTTCCCAAAGTTAGCAGAAGCAAAAATTCATTAAATTACGATGATGTCTTTCGTAAATAATATAATGTAAATATCACATTTGTATTTGAATTGAATTTCTTACACTAACCTCAACATTGACTGTTTTATACTCCACATACCATAACAATCTATTATGGTTATCTGTTACATTCAGAATATCTCCCATCGGAAACAGTTTTAGAGAGTACATAGGGTTTTCGGGAAATGGAAGATCTGGCAAATTATCCTACAATAAATATAACACAGAATATAATATTAATGAATTGTAATATAATATAAATGAACTGTATTTCAAGACAAACAATTTATATCTTTTCTAAAAATTAGTTTTAAAAACTGTTAATTTCAACAAACCAAATTAAATGCTTTTCTAATGCGCAAATGATTGTTGAGGGCTTTAACAGCGGTATCCACAACATCTTTTTTTTTCTTTAGTACCCTTTCACAAGCTAACACAAACCGATAAATGTTAAAGTCGTTGTCGAACTAAAAATAAAATTTAAATGCTGACAAAAGAATTAGTAATTTATGTCGATGGCAGTAGTGAACTTTTTTCTTCCATTCTCAATTTTTTAGAAAAATTAGGTAAATAAAACATTTCCTGCGCAACAAGATTATTGTTGCTTGCTAAGAGAGATGTCCTATAAGACTTATAGCAGGAAAAATTTTTTATTTTATGGAACATGGAAAGATAGAGATGAACGGGATTTTATTTTCCACTTCATAATTGTCGTCAGAGTACTCTTTTTGCAGTTGTGAAGATTTCTTTACATCTAGGAGTATCTTTTATTGGTTGTTTGCTGCAAAAGATAATTAGTTATTACTTACATTAGGATGTATTGGTTGGTTAATTTTCAAGCGTATTTCATCTACCAATTTTTTGGATTCAGTGCTTAATTGTTCCCCGAAATTTGTGCTTACACTTCTTGTCATCTTCCTGAAACAAATTTTGATTTAGACCATGAGATGGTATCATTTACTTCATTAAAGGATGATACACAGCTTCATTATTAGGAAAATAGAGTTAAACATAAATTCAGTTCCTTCCTGAGAAGATAATAGGTCTTTCGTCTTTCACTTAATTGAGCGTAATTCTCTGTCACGGCGAAGAAATAAATTGAATTGAAAAAATGCCTTTCTACGATATTTAATGTCTTCATCTCATAAATTTAAACACATTTTGATGTTCTGAGTACCGCATTGCTATAGTAATTGTAAGGAGCAATTTCTATACAAATGCTTTTGAGGAATTAAGCCTATTAACTGCATAAAATCTAGAAGATATTACTGAAATCTCATTATTTATTGAAGTAACATTTTTAGCATCTCATATATCCTAAAGTAATGTGATTTGTTTTTTGTAGTTATTAGAAATTCATTTTTGTCAGAGAAAAGAACTGACACTAAATTAGAATGAGTTTAAGATTGAGATTTGAAAAGATTTCTTGTCGAATACAAATTTGCGAAAAGGAGGAAAAATCGGTGGTGGAAAACATATTGGATGCGTTTTCAAAGATCAACATAAAAAACGATTGTAGAAGAGATAAGAGAAGCTGGTTTTACTACGCGGAGTATTGGTAGGAGAGACATCTTAGTTCCTAATTTTCACTATTGCTGATGAGGTGAACACAATGATGACGTCTTGTTCATGTTACTCCCTGTTAAGGTGTCATAGTCTGCCATTGTAAGGGTACCTATAACATGTTACTATGAAGGTAGAGAAAGAGGTAGCATAAAGAGGAGTGTCACCGACTACATCCCCCAACCTCACTCTCACCTTGGAAATAAATGTGTTCTTCGCTAAGATTCTGTAACGGAGACACACTTCCTATCCAAGTAGAAAGTGAGGTGGGAAATGTGAAATGAAGTTGTCGTACTAACTTTTAAATAATAGGATTAAGTTGACTTATGGAAAGTAAATTATACAACAGCTACTTACTATAACTATATTTGCAGAAAAAATCATGCTTAACGGCTTATGGGTGATTGCTTAGTACGTGTAAATATTAAGTATTATCTTAAATTAGATAATTTAATTTTACTTCCTAGAATGGGTTTTCGTTGAGATCGAAATTCTCTAGTATTTTTGTGTTGCCTTAAAGGATAATTCTTGCAAACATTATGTGCAGGAAATACCTTATAAATGTTAAATGTTGCTGTGTTCTCATATTAGATTTACCCTGTCAAGTTTCATCCTTTGTTGTCAGCCCTTCTCGTTCATCTTTTCAGTATTAATGACAATAAAAAATGTGAGGGAAGATAAATACATTTCGAGATGGGATTGATGACATAGTGAAAGATATTTTATCATATAGGTTACCAACTGAATTTTCGCTGATATGTCAGCGAAATTGAAATATGGTTGTTTGATGTGATAAAGACAAGAATTTACTAGTTTCGTTGAGTTCCGTCGATTTGCATTATTAACAAATACTCCATTCATCCGTTAAAATTTTTAGTTCAACTCCTCCTCTATGATTTTCGTACCACTCCTAATTAACTTGAAGGCACAAAAAATGTGTGCAATTTACTGAATTGTTTGAATGATGTTGCACCTATACACAACATTTAATCTGTTAACTTCACTTATATGCTTACTTTAACTGAAATTATTGCACGATACTAGAGGGAGGAGGTCAAATATGGGTAAAACGAATTTCTTCGACAGCGAATGCAACTTAAGAAAGTTCATACAATTGCGAGATGAAGATGTAATGGAAAACTTCGGGTTAAAATATATGACTGAAGTCAGAAATAATGCCGTCTTTTGTTTTAGCATCTTCCTTCCTTTTCCAGCTTTTTATTTTGAAGTAGGAAGAAAATTCCTATGAGTAAAAATTCACTCCTTCATTTTGCGGATTTAAAAATGTTTGAATCATTTTTTGAACATTCTCTGCAGCGGAATGGAGAGAGGATGAAATTGAACGATATTCATAGCTCCCACTTTATCCATGAATGGTAAACAGTAATGATTGCCAATATAGACGGGTGCAATACAGAATATTGAATAATAAAAAACATTTCCAACAATTATTAGTTGATAGAAAAAACATGGTGAGCCCACAGAAAAATACTAGAAATACTCGGGCACATAACAATATTAAATTTATGAAAAAATTTGTTTATGAAGATCAAAGCTACATGTCTGCCGCGCCTGCAAGAATTATTTCATTGCTTAGCCAGTGCTTTTGGTGAAGGATCAGTATACTGCATACAAGTTTGAAAAAAATTTCTAAAAAGAAAATTTAGGAAAGATTTGTGCAATGTACAAAATTAAAAGATTTGGTAACTGCGGTGTGTTGGTACAGAAGTTATACAACAAAAGAAATGCCTTTATGACAGTAAAAATCATGAACTTATTGTCAGGTGTCAGCTTCTCACTGATTGAGTTTTTTAGAAAAGTTTGGGAAAACAAATTTTCAAGAAAAAATTTTTTTTGGAAAGGTTCAGCAATTTCTGTAGATTCCACTAGGGAAAATTTCATTTGATGAGCCATATCTTATTAATTCTTTGCTTATCATTTACACCAATACCTGTTACAACAAATTAAATTAAAGCGAATAAAATGTATCAGTGTTTTTCTGGAAGTCGTTTTCGAAGAGTACAAATTTTTATAACAGATATCTGTTTGAAATTTTTGATTTCCAGATTGAACGAGCAGAATGCTTGGAGAAATTCTGTAATCAAAAAATAGAAATATGCAGTTTACAATATGCTGCCGAAACAACTGGAAAATGCACTATTAGTGATTTGAAAAGATTAGCCCAAAGAATTATCTTAGAATCAGAAGTAAAAGGTACAGTTTTTCACCTGCATGAGCAGATTTTACTTTGTATTATCATTCAATTTTTAATATTCTGTCATTTCATTTTTTTTTAATTCCCACATCTCTCATCTAGTTAGTCGAAACTAAGACATTGAGAAATTTGAAAGAATTCTCATAAATTTTATTTCCTTGCATCGGTCTTAAAAATTTCTGTAATTTCCATGATTTGCTATAAAGATCTATTAATTCCTCAGTATTTTTGTCACAGGTCGTGAAAAAATTAAGGATAGTGTGGAACAAGCACTCAGGGAATTCCAACCGATTGCAGTGCCCTTCGAACAACTGAAACCAAGAAATATAGTTAAATTGAAATGGGAGGATGTTGGAGGATTAAAGGACGTGAAAAAAATTATTACAGAAGTCTTTATTTGGCCAACAAAAGTAAGTACTCCTTAGTTTTGTTTTTGTTTGATTCTTAAGTTTGGAAACATGACTAAGTCATTTTAACGAATAGTGGATCTGAACAACGTCTAAGTTTCCTGACTTTTTGAAAATGATGCATGTAATTGGATTTATAATTGATGAGATTATTGTATTATATATCAATGAATAATAAGGCTATATGTATTCTATTAAATTTTGCTTTTCTTAAGTATCCACTGCTGTATCGGAATATTTCTGTTCGTCTTGGTCGCGGAGTTTTGTTGCATGGTCCAAGCGGATGTGGAAAAACTCTTATTTGTAGAACTTTAGCAGCACAATGGGACTTCAATGTCATATCCATCAAAGTAGCTATTCCTGTTGTTCAATTAAGTTGGAAACATGAAACTTAAATATGGAACCGGGAAAAACATTCAAATAGCGTTGAAGTTTTAATCTTATAGCTAAAATATTTCTTCTTTAATTTAATTTGCCAAACTTTGTTTGGAGAATGAAGTATTTTCTCCGAAGAACAATAAATTTATGAATTTAAAAATGCCCACATTCCCGAATTTTAAATTGGCAAAAAAAAATATATTTAGGGACCGGAATTATTATCAAAGTTTATTGGTGAAAGCGAAGAAAATGTCCGGAAAATTTTTGAATGGTAGGTTACAGTTTAAATTATTATAATCCTAATATAACAAACCGAACTTTAAAAGCTCGAGAAACTACTTTATAATATTTTTCTGAGGCTTGTATTTTGTAAAACAATTTTTGAACTTAAAAAGTACTTGCGTAATTAAACATTGAGCAGAATCTTGTCTCACTTCTTCTTTGCATGGACATATTGCATATGAAATACCTATAAGTTTGAGTAGATAGATTGTAAAATTGTTTTTTCGATTTACTTTCATTCATATCGCAGTTTTAGTGCTCGTGTTGGAAGCCCTTGTTTGATATTTTTCGATGAATTTGATTCATTAGGTCCAAAGCGTGGTGAGAGTGATACAGGAGTAACGGACCGTGTGGTGAATCAACTGCTGACAGAACTGGATGGAGTTGAAGGGCTAAATGGTATTTTTTTAATAGTTCCGAGATTTATCTGCGTTTGGTATTTGCTTTTATATTTAAGTTATGAATTTTGTCAGATACGTGGTTACGCATATGTTTCCCACGTGGTTAATAATTATATATGAAAGCATTGTTGTTTCATTGTCTTTTACAGATGTGTATATTATTGGGGCTACAAACCGAATTGATTTGATTGATAGTTCCTTATTACGACCGGGGCGTTTCGACTACATTGTTAAATGTGAATTGCCCAATATGGTTTGTCGTTTTATTGTAATCCATCAGCAAACCGATGCAAAGCTTCAGTTGAATTCGTGTTTGACTTACATTATTTTGCATTTCGAATGTTCAGGAAATTATTTTCTTTTATATATGGTAGAAATCAGAAAGATTGAGATAGCGCTAAAGTTTTAGTCTTATACCTGCCAAATTTTGTTTGAAGAATGAAGTATTTTTTTCCGAGGGTGGTAAATTTATGAATTTAAAAGTTAAAAAGATATAAGGCTGGTTAGAAATTTCCCACTCTTTAAATAATGTCGCGAAGTTGAATCAGGTCAAATGAATCACAATTTAAGTTTTATGTACTGTTCTACTTCACATTGACGATGTCAGCTTTCTGTTTGATGTTGTTTGCTGGTTTCGACGGATAGAGGGCTTCAAAAAAATCACAATAAAACAACTCGTATAAATCAGAGCATTAATAGCTAAATTACCAAGCAATTTGTGGCAGACAAGAATTTGGCAAAAAAATGACTAAAAAATGAGGTTGTATTACATAATATGTTATATGAAAAGGATTAGCCATTTATATTTAGGAGGAGCGAATGTCGATTTTGGAGATATTTTGCCGAGGTATGAGCTTAAGAAATACTGATTTTGAAGTGATAGCAAGAACAACACATGGTTGGACGGGTGCTGACTTAAAAGGTTTGGTAACAAATGCTCAGTTGATCGCTCACAAGAGAATAAAAGGAGCACTTGGCGACAGAGGTATGCAAATTCTTCGAATCTTTTGAATCGCCTAATCGCATTATAGAAAAAAAAATTTTATACTAATTTGGTTTGCTGCAATTTTTAAATATAGAAATTCATAAATCGTGTGTTTAACTAAATAAACATAAGTCGCGTATTCAAACTAAATATAAAAAACAAAGTAACTTGTATATCTGCCTTTATATTTCTTAAATGAGTTAATTGCACAAAATTTCAAATTTATTTTTAGATGTTGACTTCGAAAGAACAAAATATGTAATAAATCAAGAAGATCTGTTGTTTGCAATAAAGGAATCGCAACCGAACAAGAACAGAAGCTCTTCCGGATTAGATAGGAGACCTTACATATCACCAGGGTTGTTTACTACTTTAGCTTAACTCCTGTTTTACATTAAATTTGAAATATCGTATATTGGTGAAAGGTAGATTTATTTCAATTATTCGTGTACTTTTTTCGAAATTTTTTTTTTTTTTTTGTCGTGCCTTATTGGGTATTTGTATATATTTACTGGCAAAATAATTTCGCAAATATTTTTTGACGTTCAGCATGTTTACAATACATTTGTATTGCTATATCATTGTCCTTTCCACGTTTCACTTTAAAAATTTTTTTCAGTTCAGTTTTAGAAAAATATTTTATTCATTTCTGTGTTGTGCTTTTCTAATTTCGTATTGGTACCAAACAATATGTATTTACTGTTAAATCACGAAGCTTGACACTTCAAACAGTCGATATAGTTTGCTGATGAGGACTTCATTTCATATTCTAATAGATTTTTGAATCATTATCATATCATTGTGTTGTGGACTCTTGCTAAATTTTCTTTTATGTCAGAATAAGCAAAATATTAGATGCTGAAACAGGAAGTCACAACCAGAATATTAGGTGCTAGAATCTTACATTACGCATTAGTATGAATTTTTATAATTACAAACGTTTTGAGGGTTTATTTACTTATTAATTAGATTTGTATATGCTTTTATTTGTGTCATGTCCATATAAAGATTACTGTTAGTTGAGTCTCATAATTCAATAGTCATGTGAGATCTACATGCTTTGTTTCGATACATCAGTTATTTACTGTTCAGCGCAGTGAACAGCGTTGTTAGTTGTTAGTAAAATAAGTTATGATTAGTTCAGTTTGCTTGATTGAAGTGATTGATGAAAAATCAGATGTCTTTGGTGAAGTGGAAACTGGACTTAACAGGTGTCGGGACACGGACTGTAAGTCGTACCTTGGATTCATCCTTAAATCCGCCTGGTTATTCACAAGCTGGGATTACTGTGCAACAGGTTCATTTTTTTTTTACTTTTTTGCCTTACTTTTTCTTACTTCTCTTAACAAAGGATGGAACGAATTTTATACTAGACTGAAGGAATGATTTTTAATTGAGTTTTTAAGACAGAACAAACTGGGGATAGTGAACAAACGCATCATTTGATGAAGAAGCGTGCATGGGATATGGCATTGCAACCCATCAAGAGTCTACCCATGAATCTTTTCATGATGTATATGTCCGGCAATACAATTAGTATATTTCCAATTATGATGATCGCAATGATGGCTTGGCGTCCTGTTAAAGCTTTGATGAGCGTTAATCCCGCGTTTAAACCTTTGCAGGTTTTGTCTTTCAAAAATACTCATTTTTGTTAAGCTTACTGATTTTTTATAGGCTCTCTCATTCGTGAGTTTCTTTCACAATAATTTTCTTAGCTAAATGACATAGTATTTTTTATTTGCTGATCGAATTACATTAAATACAGTGCTTAAAAAACATTTTCATTATAGATGCTAGCCATATCTTTAATTTAGTTTCTGGTGCTGATAGTTTTTAAGCACATACTTCAAGTAGTATTTGTTATGCAGTAAATAGATTTTTCTGATATTTTGTTTTGAACTTTTATAATTTGTGATTGCAAAATCGCATTCTTCGAAAGCATAAATAGTTTTCTTGCTTTTGTGTGCAACTAATATGTAATTTCTACTACGAGGAGAAAATTTGCTATAGAATAGAAGTACTTTTTTTTACTACAAAATATTACTTGCAGCTAATTTGAATCGACGTACTATGAAAGAATGAGTGTCTAATTAGCACATATTCCTTTAAACATGTACTGAGAATACCAAATGTTGATTTGGATTGAAAGCAAGTATTGGTGCTGATCTTTTTTAAATTTTCTTTTGAGCAAAAGTTCGAAATATGTCTTACATTTGGTTTGAAATAATATGAAATGAATTTTTAGGATGAGAATATGGGATCACTTCTGCTTCATAAATTGGTTTTCGTGCTTGGAAACATGATAGCGATAGCAATGGCTTTATACAAATTACACAGTATGGGATTGTTACCCAATCATGCATCAGATTGGCTCGATTTCCAGCTACCACCTCAACGAATGCAATATTCTCTTGTTTCTGATTCATTTATCTCATAATATTCATTATTTCTTTAATTTAATGTTCCCTTTTCCAGTCGAATAAAGGATTGTTAGTGAATTTTCTTTTTAGCTTTTACAGTTGTTGTTCATTCGTGAGATAACCCACATTAAGTGATCAGGTAGTCGTAGTCTTGTTTCGCATAAAATCCTGCTATTACTGTACTAATGCTTAATCTTTCCGTCACCTCCTATTGTATCGCATTCAAATATACACAAATTATTTATTTTAGTTCCTCATCTCTATAGGGTTCCACTCCTGAGATTACTATATCTTCACTTATATCGGTCTTGTTTTTATAGTTATTTTCATCTTCATTTAATGAATATCCTCATTTGTTTCTTGTGTGTGTGTGTGTGTTTTTTTTTTTGAAACCCTTTAAATTATACATTTGGCTGAGAAGTTTTCAATTGATAAAAATCTTGTGCCTATCGTGTCGGTGATGGAAAACTTGTTTGAAATATAATGATAAATAGTAGCATCTCCATATGGCCTCGAAAGAATTGTGATTAGGAAGTTGTGTGGCGGAAAAGAAGTAAAGGCGGTGCAAATGAAATGTGCAAGAACTACACTACGAAATGATAATGATGGCTGTAGCAAACAAAGGTATCGTTCTCCTCGGTTATTTCCGTTGAATGTCTTCACGCAAAGTTATTAAATTCCCATGTGACTGGTTTGTGGTATAAAACTGGAAGGTTTGATTATGTGCAATTTTTATGTGGGAAGAATCTTATAAGAAACGAAAAGATTCTTTTTATTTAATGATTATATTAATGAAGAATATCATCTACCATGTGGGAATTTAATAACTTCATGTGAAAACGTTCAATGGAAAAAGAAAATAAGTACCACAAAGTAAGGAAGTCTTGTCGGAAATTCGAATGGTTAGTCTGTTTTCTTGAATTTATGATCATTTTCCACAGTGATCATTACGAACCATTTTCTAGGGATTGGGAAAATAGCAAGATGCTGGAATCGACTGCCTTAATAGGATTACCTTTGTCAATTCATCATGTTGAGTTTTACGTTTCTAATGCTTTACAGGTCGAATTTTTCGCAACTTACAAATTTTTGTAATTTTCATTTATTATTTTCTTTCCAGAAATCATCAGGAACGTTTACAGGATTCTGACTGTTTGATAACATTTAAATAAAATCAATACATTGTATTATCTCGATTATCTGCTTCAGTGATGTTTGTGGATTAAACAAATTTTAGAGTTCTTATTGGTACTGTGTCAATTTTGGTTTTCAACAATTTGCTAAAAAAGAAGATGCTCAATGGAGCAGTATAGCCATTCGCAATGGGAACGTAAGCTTGGAAATTATAATTATCATTTCTGAGATAAGGAATACTATCATGGGAAAAGATTATCTTAGATAAGTAACATTCTTTATGCAAATCGATGAAATATTAGGTGTTACCAGGAAGTCGACAAGATAACATAATTAACGATAATGACTTTTGTTTGCATAAAGTTTGGTAGATTAAATCAGAGCCTTTCTAGATTGTTTTCATCTTTACGGCATGCAAAGAACAAGATGAAGATTTCGTGAAATATTTGACAATCCATGGCGATTCTGTTAAAGATGTATCATTTCTGACTAATGACATAAATGCTGCTGTCGAGGTTGTTTTTATAATTTACTAGTCATATGTTCATTAGTTTTATTGCAGTATCGTTTCAATAGCACTACATATTGAGGGCACTAATAATTTTGCAAGACACCTTTAGTAGGAGAGGGCAAGTGATTTGAATTCAAGATTTTTCAAACAAGTTTAGATGAAAGATTCTGAAATCCCAATTTTTTTTAGAGACATAAAATTTTTGCAAAAGAAGATTTTGTAAGATGTCATCTTTGATAATGAAGTTGAAAATATTAAATATTTTTTTTCAAACCGGGACTTCTCAGCTCCGTTTAGTCAATCCATGCTGCTATAAGGGCTGTTTGACGGTTTCAGTTCTTTTCCCTTTCTGCAAAACCTCGATTACAATCTATCGTCATCTCGTTTAATTTCGTCGCAAGTTGAGCATTCTCGAAGACTGATATTGTATTTTGAAAATGAAATTACAGTTTCTACTTGAAAGTTTAAATTGCAGCGCATCGTTGAAAAAGGTGGATTTGTGGTAAAGCCAGTTGAAGTTGTTGCTGATGAAGATGGTTTCGTAAAACTTGCTGTTATTGGTTTACCAGTACGGACAAAAATTTTCTTGAGGAATTCTTTGCAAAGAATATTAAACTAGGAGAAATATGAGATTTAAATAATTCCAGGAATGTGACGTACGTCATAGTTTGTTGGATTCAAAAACTTATCGAGGGTTCTTTTTGCCAGAATATGAACCATATGATTGTAGCAACAATATTCTGAAATCAATGTGAGATTTCTTAAAAATAGAAGTATACGAAAATAGAGGAGAATAGAATGGTATTCCATCCTACTTTCTGATTATAAATACTTTAAATCACCTAGAAAGATAATTAACTCAAACTGCATGTATTAGCTAATTCTAAGGAAATAATGAGGAAAAATGTATTAATAAGTGACGGTGCACTTACTTTTAGTTCATTTTTGGATATGTTCTTAACAAATTAATCTTTTAGAGAAGAAATATCGATCATTTCGATAGATCATTTTGTAATCAATTACCCAGTGGACTTTGTGCAACCTGCTTTGCATTACTATCATCAAATGTTTGATTTCGAAGAAATATGGTTAGTTTCTGAAGCTAGACTAAATTCTCCGCAGTTGTTATTCCAGATCCTTACCTGCTGTAGAAAAACTACATTTCTGCAATTCAATCATTTGCGAAAGGAGAGCCGGGCAGTTTATTCATGAAATACATTCACCTCATTACAGTTTTTTTTTTTTTTTTTCAAACAAAAATCTTTGTCAGGTCGAGTGATGAATCGATATTCAGCTCGAGTCATTCTGCTATG